CCTCAGTGAACCTGCCAAATGGGAATCCAAGGGATGGCGTGATGTTCAGACATGGGCACAAGAATTATGGGGCATTGTTCCAGGTCCAACATGTTGCCAAGTCACACGCAAAGACTATGTATACCTGTCTCCTGCTCTACAACAACTGCTCCTTAGCTGTAGCAACTCTTTTGATAAGTTTCCAGATCATTCCACTCTGCTTGGTATTCTGGACTACCCTAGTCCCCCGGTGCCGATTGCCAGATGGCCTAAGCCCACAACAATTGACTATAAAGAACTTGACCCAGCTAAGATTGCCTCTCACCATTGCGCACCTGTAGTAGTCAGTGGTACACCAACAGAGAGGTACGCAGCCATATGTCAGGCTTTCGAGCAACACGTAAGCTCCACCAGAGTTCACCATCAGCTCTCTGCTTTGCAGCCTGCACAAAGAGGACGCGGAAGCACATTGGAGCGCATCTTCATCAAGCCGCACATAGTACCCATCAAGAATGCTAGGCAAGGAGACTATCAACCGTCTATCAACTCCTGGTCCCTGCTTCATTGTAGGTGGGTCACCCAATGTAGACGCTTGCAACATTATGTTAAACATGTGAAGAAAGCATCATCCACGCCAACTGCCCTGGAGCATCGTGCTTCCATTTGGAGAGCCATAGTATTAGCATCTGGTTTCCCCCATAACTTTGCTACCTGGTGGAACCAACAAGCATTACAGGATGGCAGCCTATACCCATGGTTTCCGCCTCACCCCCCTGACCTCACCATGGCTCAACATATAGCCCAAGTGTTCCAAGCCCGTCTTGCCGAATATGAGTCGCAGCTCATAGCGAAGCGTGTAGGAATTGCCAAGGTGAATAGAGCCAATGATGTCAATAGAGTCTATAAGGATGTACGCAAGCCAATGCCAGTCCCTGTCAAGTTATTGGTCGCCAAGTCGGTTGCTCATGTCACCGAAATTGTTGATGAGGGGTCTGTCATAGTCAATTGCTCCCAAGCCATCCAGTTGGCGACAGTGCTTGAATCTCGCACGGGGCCTCTCCACATAATACACATAGAGGAAGACCAGATATGGTTCACCAGCCCGCACACTCTCGAAGTAGGTGATGTGCTGGCAGAAGTAAATCTCAAAGGTCAAATCAATGAGATTCATGATGCATTTATCTCGGAATGGATGCGGCGTTGGGACAGACACCGTCATTTGGCTCCCAATCATTGGGAGGAAGTTCTGAGTCTCACAGAGTCTCTATTGCGGGGTCCAGTAATGGAGTTGCAACCCATAACATTGGCCAAATGGAAATCTACGCTCAGGTCCAAGAAGGCCTCGTCCGCCACGGGGCTGGATTCTCTATCACGTAAAGACCTCCTAGCATTCCCGGACGAACTCCATAACCAATTGATAGATCTCTTCCATCACGCCGAAGCAACCGGCCAATGGCCTCGACAGTTACTCCAAGGAGCAGTACACTCACTTGAAAAGACCCCAGGTGCAGAGACGGTCAACGAATATAGACCAATTACGATAATGCCACTGGCATATCGAATTTATTCGTCCATACGTTCACGCCAGATTCTTTTGCACCTGAAGAAGCATGTTCCTCCAACCTTGCTAGGAAACATCCCAGGGCGCCAAGCCACACAATTGTGGTGGTCGATGCAACATCGCATCGAGTTAGCCTTACAGGCTTCGGAACCCCTCAATGGGGCAACATCTCACGTAGTTAAAGCGTTTAACCATTTGCCCCGCGAAGTCACCTTTAAGGTAGCCGCATGCATGGGGATCCATCCCAATATCATCCGAGCCTGGGCTGCATCCACTACACAGTTACGCAGCCATTTTGTAGTCCAAAACTCGCCGTCGATGCAAGTGCAATCTACCACAGGTTTTGTTGAAGGATGTGGACTGTCTGTAGTTGCCATGGTTCTCATCAACACCTTGTTGCATGCGTACCTTCAGCACAAGCACCCAGACGTCACCTTCACTACCTACGTTGACAACTTCGAGTTGCAGTCCTGTCAGGTTGTTGATACATCTCAAGCGTTGCAATCACTCCATGATTTTTGTGGCCTGTTAGATATACAATTGGACACCAAGAAGACATATCGTTGGTCAGTGTCAGCAGCTGGCAGACAGGAAATACGTGCCTCCGCTGCCAACATGGTTACCTCCGCTCGAGATTTAGGAGCACATATGCAATTTGACTCCAGACAGACCAATGCCACTGTAGTCAATAAGTTCAAAGCACTCCCTGATCTCTGGCATTTGCTTTCTAAGAGCCAAGCATCGTATGAGCAAAAGATCAAGGTCCTTCGCACAGTGGCCTGGCCTAGAGCCATGTATGCTATCTCCACGGTTCATGTAGGCAATGCACACTTCATTGATGCCCGTGCTGGAGCTTTCCAAGCTATAGGAGGAACGAAGGCAGGTGCTAATCCTCAGATACACCTGTCCCTCACTACCTACCCAACAGCAGACCCAGAGTTCTATGCACTTTGGAATACGGTTACTCAATTCCGCAGAAACATTGTACCAGAATTGGTAGATGTGACATTAGCCCCAGCAGCAGTTGTCCCCAGCCGCAAAAGGAAGCCTGGACCTGGAGGAGTCTTGATCTCCCGACTTGAGGCTATTTGTTGGGCATATCAAAGGGATGGCGTTTTTTCTGATGGGGAAGGTAGCACTATCCATATTCTGGATGCCCCTCTGCAGGAGCTCAAGACCAGGTTAGTTCGTGGGTGGCAACAGACGGTAGGACGTCAATGGGAGACACGCAAAGGTTTCCAAGGCCTCCGATTTGTCAGCACTGAACTCTCCCGGCCTGACACCAAACTAGCTCCGGATGAACTGGGATTCTTGCGGGTAGCACAGAATGGAACATTTTATACCAACGATACTCTGATGCATGCAGGGGTTACTGATAATGCATTGTGTAAGTTTTGTTCCAGTCCAGACTCAGTATTTCACCGACACTGGGAATGTACTCACACGTTGCCAAGCCGTCAGCTTATCCCGGAAAGCATCAGAGATTTCATCATGCAGAGCCCCAAATGCCTGCAAGAAAATGGATGGGCGGTCGAATCCGATGAGATTCGCCACTATCGAACCTGCCTTGGCGATATTCCGGACACAATCACCAAGTACGTAAACGTAAACCTTGGAACCAAATATGAACACTGTGATCTGTTTTGTGATGGCACGGGAATAGACCCCAAACAGCCTGCCACCCGCCTTGTAGCCTGGGGAGTTGTCATGGCGGGCCAAGACCCACAGCAGCCACATGTTCCCATTGCTTGGGGTGGGGTACCAGGACAACACCAAACAGTAGCACGTGCGGAACTGATTGCCTTCATTTCTGCCCTGCAATACGGCGTTCTCAACAGAAAATCACCACAGTCCACTTTTGCCATATGGAGTGACTGTGAATTTGTCATACGTAGAGCAAGAGCCATCCAATTAGGTTTGATCGCCATCACTGCCTCGATCTCTGACCATGATCTCTGGCAGCTAGTGCAAACCCTCCTTCCCCCTGAGGAAATTTGTCGCCTCCATCACATCAAATCGCACCAGATGTACCAAGATTCTCCGGCATGGATACAATGGGCGTGTAGCGCCAATGATGCGGCTGACAAGTTGGCTGAATTTGCAATATCCGCCCTGCCAGCACATATCCTGCAGTCACAAGCTGCGGCCAGTAGCAGCTACCGAGATATTCAATGTGCCGTGCAATTTAGTCATCAGCATATCGTTCGAGTAGCTCGCCTGGCGGTAGCGGAAGCCGACAGACCCAAATCAGCCCCATTCAAACCGGTTGACCATCACCCAGTGATTCCATGGCACCAGATTGCTCTTGCAGCGGCTGATCGGGCCCCAGCTAAGTTACGCTTTGAGGGTTTCCACACGCTAGTTTCATGGCTGCAGCAAATCCACGACCCGAGCTCCGCTCCCAAATGGTACTCGTGGTATGAACTTCTGTTTGCCTTCCAAATCATCACTGGCGAATGGGGTATACAGTCTACATCATCTCACAATACTTGGAAGATGTATGACAAGATTCAGGAATACGACATGCGACAGACATGTCGCTCCTGGTCCAGTTATCTCATCCAGCTCATCCGACTCATCCTGCCGGAGTTCAAAGCCGAAGACAGCCGACCCAATAATAGCAGATTCCGATGCTGGGCAATGGGAGTCATGTCCCAGCTGAAGCCGGAGGTTGACAAGCAGATTCATGATTGGCTACAACAGCAGATGGGCGATAGACCCATCACTAAGATAACCAATGTCATTCACCTTCCTGTTGCCAACTTGTCAACCCCGGTTGAACCGGCTGCTGCTAAGCACGGCCTTCATCGGTTCTGGCCATTAAGCTAGTGGCTCCAGAGCCAATTTCACTCAGGGTATGGTCTGCAAGGCCGACCATACGCGACAGACGACAAAAAGGTCCGACAAAAAGGGTTTTGAACACTGCTCACATGGGTATAGGTCTACCCCAATAATTAGATGGTTAATACTAAACATGTGCGAAAATATGTGGGTTTTCTCTGCTTAAAATTTGACCCATCCCCACCTGAATAATGGTGCTTCCCTAGAGCCAAGAGGGACTTGTGCCAAGAAGTCCAAAGATTTCAAGAGATCGTTCTGATCCTGTGACTGGTGAGCTGTGTATCATAAGTTTGCGAAGACATATGCCTGGACACATGCCTGGACACATGCGAGTGAGGTTGGATGATGGTCGCTTGGACATACATCCCGGTTTTTTGGTATGTCATTTGTGCTTCATTCACCATCAGACAGTGGAGTGTTGATCACTTACTGACTGGTAACGTGGCTAGCTGGAAGATGGCCGAGAATAGATGATTTTCCCAGCTATGAAAATCCATTTATGGTTGATTTTCCCAGATTTCCCCATACTTTCCCTATGTCTTTCCCATCATTTCCCATGGTTTATAGGGGAAGACATGGGAAGACGACTCGAAAATCACTTCGGGGATCAAATCGAAAGGAGAGTGTGATGACCGCCCGGATGAAGATCCGGCGGCAGGTGGTCCGGGCGTCCGGACAGTGGCCTATCCTCAGAAATATCTTCTGGACATATTTAGAATGGGATTTAGCCTCTGGTATACGTTTACATAGCTATGAAAATGGTGATAGAAATACTGTAGTAGATTTAGCCATTAATAGCATGGTGATTTTCCATTGTTATGTAACAGTTTACCAGAGGGTAATTTGGGTAAACAATGCCATAAACCATCCCCCAGTCACCTTTTTTTATAGGTGGCATGTTTACCATTCCTAATCATGGGTGGTTTACTTCTAAACTTCTAGATGGGAAAGTCTTAGAAAGCGCCATGAGGAGGAGGAGGAGGAGGAGGAGGAGGAGTAGTAGTAGTAGTAGTAGTAGTAGTACCCACAGGACAACCCCTCATCCTACGAGGGTCTGGCACGGAGGGCCATACCCGAGAGCGGAGCTAGCAACCCATTGGTTCCATCATCCCAGTGGCAGGGGATTTCCTTGTCATAACATTTCCTTGTCATAATCTCCCGGCCCCATGGAACATATACGCATACTTCTATTCGGGGTTTCATTTAGGGTTTACATAAGTTATAAAGTCTCCCGGCCCCATGGAACATATAGGCATACTTCTATTAGGGGTTTCATTTAGGGTTTACATAAGTTATAAAATCCCCCGGCCCCATGGAACATATACGCATACTTCTATTAGGGGTTTCATTTAGGGTTTGCATAAGTTATAAAATCCCCCCGGCCCCATGGAACATATCATATACGCATACTTCTATTAGGGGTTCATTTAGGGTTTACACATAAGTTATAGAATCCGGACTCGCCAAAAAAGTGGAAACGATTGAAAAAGTGGAAAAAAATGAAAAAGTGGAAATGGCCGAAACGCGTGAAGTCCGCAGAGGGTTCACTTTTCTGACTGATTTTTCCAAAAATTCGTCTTAGACCACGCTAACTCACAAATGTACCAGAGTCATAAAACACTGCGCTTGCGCAGAGAAATGAGCCTCCCACTGACGTTCATACGACCATTGCGGGACAACCCTCAGTCCTGCCCGTAGTAGTCGTAGTAGTCGTAGTAGTCGTAGTAGTCGTAGTAGTCGTAGTAGTAGTAGTAGTAGTAGTAGTAGGTAGTAGGTAGTAGGTAGTAGGTAGTAGGTAGTAGGTAGTAGGTAGTAGGTAGTAGGAGTAGTAGTAGTAGTAGTAGTAGTAAGTAGTAGTAGTAGTAAGTAGTAGTAAGTAGTAGTAAGTAGTAGTAAGTAGTAGTAAGTAGTAGTAAGTAGTAGTAAGTAGTAGTAAGTAGTAGGAAGTAGTAGTAGGTAGTAGTAAGTAGTAGTAAGTAGTAGTAAGTAGTAGTAAGTAGTAGTAAGTAGTAGTAAGTAGTAGTAAGTAGTAGTAAGTAGTAGTAAGTAGTAGTAAGTAGTAGTAAGTTGTAGTAAGTAGTAGTAAGTAGTAGTAAGTAGTAGTAAGTAGTAGTAAGTAGTAGTAGTAGTAGTAGTAGTAGTAGTAGTAGTAGTAGTAGTAGTAAGTAGTAGTAGTAGTAGTAGTAGTAGTAGTAGTAGTAGTAGTAGTAGTAGTAGTAGTAGTAGTAGTAGTAGTAGTAGTAGTAGTAGCAGGAGTAGTAGCAGGAGTAGTAGCAGGAGTAGGAGTAGGAGCAGGAGTAGGAGTAGGAGTAGGAGTAGGAGTAGGAGTAGGAGTAGGAGTAGTAGTAGTAGTAGTAGTAGTAGTAGGTTGTTGTTGTTGTTGTTGTTGTTGTTATTGTAGTAGTAGTAGTAGTAGTTGTAGTTGTTGTTGTTGTTGTCGTTGTCGTTGTCGTTGTCGTTGTTGTCGTTGTTGTTGTTGTTGTTGATAATCGTTTGCCTGGTGGCAACTGTTCAGTAGATATGATATGATATCATTACCCTCCTGGATTTAAAGGCATTTCAAAACATGCGAAGGGGGAATTCGGAATTCCTCTTTTCAAGTGTCATAAACAACTCTATTGGTTGGCATTTCAAGGATGTTCAGGAAAAACAAAGGGATTCCCATGGTCACTCCCAATTACTTGGACATGTCAACATGCGGATTTTCATGGATTTTCCATCCCCAAGTTAGATCATGCTAAATAGTAAGTAGATGTACTACTATAATTTATAATAAAAATTATATATATATATATATATTATACATACAACATACAATTGCACATATATATATAATTGTATTTATATGTATATATATATATATACACATACATGGATGAATACAACCTAGAGAAATGAAGGGAACGGTCATGTCATGGACCTCCCTTCACACTGGTGGCTTCAGGGGTTTTGCTCCCCACCTGCTGGCCCCAGCCTAGCCACTGAAGAAGAATTCACCGCCAGCCGCATCAACCAGAAACAATTATCAATAGTTATATATATATATATTTATATCCATCATCAACCCGTATACTGGCTGCCAACTGTCAAACTCTGGTAGCCCGTCCAGAAAAAACATCCATAGCAAGAGTAAAAATGATCGCCATGAGGGTACTATTGACCATCAACCAGCAACAGACAGATGTGTCTGAAAAAAACAGAGTAATTATTCCATCCATCCCATCATTTGTCATTCCCTCTCAAAATTGTCATAACATGAGAGGCCATCTCTCATTTTGCAAGCACAAACCGGCAGGTTTTCTCCGGAAATTTGGATTGACCTTGTTCTCGATCCTCATTGTTTGGACACATACGGCGTGTTTCCTATTTATTTTAACGGATACTTCCACATACTTCCACCATCTCGGCCTCTTCCACCTCTCAGGTTCTAAGCCTCTGGATTCAAGGAGTTTGTCCCGAAAAAATTGACCGGTCATGTTGAACCCAGGACTTTGCCAAAGCCAGTTGGAAAGGTGACCAATTTTGATTCCAAAAGTCAAGGCCTTTTTTGTGGGTTTTGCCAAAAAATATGGGTTCACCCTACTGTTTTTTTGCCTCCCCGGGGGTTGAGCCAGGTGGATCAATTCTTGCGGATGGACTGTTCAGAGGTTGGTCAGCCTCACTCGAAAACGACCAACTGGTGACTTGGTGAGCTGCGGTGAAGGTGGTGAGAAAAAGGAGTGGCTACCCTGAGAAAACCGAATGTTGGAACCTTTTAGGAAACCACATCCCGCAGCAATCTTTTCGTGTTTTCAGTATTGGAAGGGTAAGCATGCGGAAACGGTGATGATTTCTTGTGGGCTTTCCATACCTGCCATAGCGCGTGCTTTTTTACGCACAATTGGGGTGTCCCAGGGTGGAATGAGACCTAGCCAAGTCTGCATATCCTCAGGCTATAGTTGAACCCCCCAATGACTTTCCCAAGCTTTCCTCCCTGGTTTCCCTCAGCCTGAGGCTTCTCATTGCTGCAGTGGCTGTTGCAGCCATTGCCGTGCTGGCTATGGTCATTGCTGTGGCTGCTCCTGGGCGCAAAAAATCCTGGTGAAAATTGCTGCCACGCCCTTTCGGGTAATGTCATAGTGCTTCGCGGTGGATTTTACTTTGCCATGTGGGGACAACACTATTGCTAATCAGTCACGGGTCTACACCAATTCTTGACCGCTGATGAGCAACGGAATGTAACATCAGCGATCACAAGGTGGCAAACAAACACAGCACCCACAATGCACCCACCAATTTCAGTCATTAGATATCATTAGATCAAGTGTTCATACTTACACTCCCTTATTTTTTGGTTCCTTATTTTCGAACGTTGACATGTCTTTTTTTAGCACCTTAAATTAAAACACCCGTTCCAGGCTCGATCGGTCGTCCGGAAAAAAATCGCCCAAGGTACGCCGATGTCGAAGACCCCGCGCAGTTCTCCTCAACCAGCGCCTTGGCTAATGGTAGGTATAATATATATCTATAAATATATATAGTTGGATTCTATAGTTGGATTCTACATCTGTACGTATAATATATATATATAAATAGTTAGTGACAATTAGAGTCTATAATTGGATTCTAGATTCTATATTTGGATTCTATATTCTATATTTGGATTCCACATATACCATAGTCTTGGGTATTCTATTTGGTACCCTACATTATAACTTATAACTACTTATGGATCTCCACATATTGGTTCCCATTTTTGCTGCAGCAGGTCGAACATGAGCCTCCAGCCGCAATGAGAAAAGTGGCGCCGGGCTACGCCAGGATCAGGGCTAACAAGTGGTGAAGCACTGGAAGGACCATGAAGGACAAGTCACGTGTGTGTGTATATATATATATGGTCGTGCATGCAGTCCGATTACCACCGTGGCAGGAACGGACAAATTCAGCCTACAAAGATTTTTGAGTTTGTTGAGTAGGCAACCAATGCGTTGAACTGAAGGACAAGCTCTTTCATGGGTCTGCTATAGCAGCTTTTCAGGCCTGTGTTTTGCATGCTGGCGACTTGGAAAGGTCTCGAGCAGAGTGCAATGAAAAAAAATATATGTACACAGATGATTACAGATGTATACGTAGTGTAATGTAGTGTCCATGTCATGTAATGTAATACAATGTAGGAAATTGTAGTGCAATGTAATGTGATGTAGTGTATTGTATTATCGTCGTGGGGAGTAATGCAATGCAACACAATGCAATGCAATGCAATGTAATGGAATGTAATGCACTGGAATGGTATATGTATATATATATATACATACACATGTAATATATATACACATGTATATATGCATATATTTTTTGACTGCTTAATCTGGCCTTGAGAGAACCAACTTCAAATTGATGTATTTGCACAGCTCTTTGACCCCTTCAACTGCCATATTGGGTGGTAAGTGGCCTTGTTGTGGGCACCGTTTGAATCCCTCAAGATGCAGCTGCCGCTTGTCATTGGTGGGAAGGCTGTCGATGTGGTAAACCGAATCGCCAGCAACCTGTTGGAGGTCATTTAACATCATCAACAAAACAGGATATATAAATGATATCAAATTTCCAGATGACCCCTTTATTGGATGGTGACTATTGTTGGGCTTACCAGATATCACCCCAACAGGAATCTTGCTTGAATCTTCTGTCTTATGTGGTTGAAGTCCCAGTGCAGGCAACATCTGCAATAGTCACAATACTGGATTGATGAAACCAGGCGACCCGGCATCTTTTCCAATGGATTAGAAATCATCGATGGTCGTTTTTTCAAAGCCAATGATGGTATATCTTTTCCAATGATTATCATAGCTATCATAGCTATCTTTTTCCAAAAAAAATCGACGCTTGTCCCATTGGTTGGTAATTTCAGCATCGAAGAAAAGAACGACGACTTCATCACTTCATTACTTCGTCCATGCCTCCATGGGCCGCGGATGCATGGAGGCGATGATCTGATCAAAAATCAGGGAAGATCATGGAGATTTTGTTGGCATATAATGGCCTTAATGGTATAAATTATATGGATATTATAGTTATATACTGTATATATATATATATATGGATATTATAGTATAAATGATATCATGGCTATTATAGTCACTAAACCAGGGAATACTCTAAATATTTTCCATGGAGATAGGTGGAGATATAATGGCTTAATGGGACAATTATGGAGATAAAAATGGGAAATCATTCGCATGAATTATGATGATCTCACGTCGTGACGTCACTGGTTTTTGATGGTAAATGTTTTTTGGGGAAGCATCCCCGAATGGCCGTTTTTTATAACAGCTATTAACAGCTATTTTCTGTGTGAATTACCTTCCATTCAGCCAGAAAAAATCATATGGATGGGATTTGATGGGGATTGGGGCGTCCCACGGGATGAATGTGGGACATTTTTCTAACCAAAATCAGGCCTAGCCTAGCCGCGGTTTCGTGTAGCCTTGGCGCCTATTTTTTTGCGGAGCAATGGAGGTTTTTTACTGGGGGGATTTTCCAGACGTGGAGACGATTGCCCCGAAAAGGATAGGATTTTGTGATTTCTCGCTGGGTCAATAGCTCAGTACTATAGGATTTTAATGGATTTTACATTTCGATCTTTTTGGTAACATGGAAGCCATGGCAGTTTTTCATGATTCAACTACTAAAACTGGTGGCTTTCCGTAGCTGTTTTTGAATGGCCAGAGGCTAAGCCATCACTATGGAGAGGTTTTTTAAGGGCCCAGATTTCTCCGGATTTCCACAGCCATGGCATGGGGTGAACATTTTGGGGTACCCGGGTTTTGACTCACACCCATATCATATCTAATATCTATAGCAGCAACCACCAAAAATCCACAGGTTTTTCTCACCACGTTATTTTGGGATTTTGCTTTTCTATTTTGTTGGGGCTTGCTACACTCTGTATTTGATGGTTCCCTGTCGTTGCAGTTATGTCCAATTCATTTGTCAATTAACGGGGAAAGCAATAGTGTTCAAGGGGTACTATCTCATTTAATTTTCGAGAAATTCGCGATTTGGTTGGATCACCATCAACAAGAGGAACAAATGGTCTGGTCCAAGCTATTTTTGTGAAGATCTCTGTAGAATGGTATTGAAGCACATACGGCTGGATTTGTTGTGATTGACTAAACCTATATACGACCCGTATTGAAGGAAGATATGACCGTGTCATGGTTTTTCTGCAACGACCCATCAGACATAAGGATGGGTCAACCAATGGTATCCAAATTGTGGGAATCCGTTTGCAGTGGCAAAGGTAGGCAGTGAAGGGCGTTGAACATTCAATACTTTGATGCGGTTTCTATCTACTGTTGCTGCTCTCACTTCAGAGCAGGATCGCTTTGGCTGGAAGATTGCTAAAGAAATTTACGTGGTTGTATTTTTGTGTCTCTGCATGTGTATATAATGTTTAGTTTGCGACCTTGGCAAGTCACATTCAACATCATCCAGCCTTTGTTTTGCACAACTGTACGACACGTCATATTCCCAAGATGTGCATGCATAATCTTGGCAAGTCCCATTGAAATTTTCTTTTGGCTAGCTGTTTCCAATCCTGGCCCAAACCGCTTTTCCGGCTTTCCTCACTGTCATCGTTTACACAATGGCATCTCAGCTGGACTTGCAGACGGGCAATGTTTCGATGGACACCATCAAGCCAAGGAGCTGGTGGCAAAGTACTCCCACGTTCATGATGACGTCCCCGGCAAGCTCTCCACCATGGACCTTCCAAGGTGCAACATGGGGGACACTGGTGTTGTCAAGTGCTTCTTCGACATCGTTCTGGGTCCCGGCGCAGTCCGGAAAGTTGAATGGGCACCTCTGGCAAAGAAATGGTTGCAGGGGGGGAACAGCATTCTCCACACGGATTCTGCCAAGAGCTACAAAGCAGCTGTTCCAGGTGTTCCACATGATCGCGCAGTGTAGTTTACAAAAAAAGGCGCGTGAAGATTGGCAATGGGTTGGCGGTGGGCTTCGGTGGATCGCGCCGAAGTATGTAGAGCTCCAGAAGCACAAGGTTCCTGGGAGCAAGAAGATTGTAGAGATGAAGTCTGGCACGCAGATAATAGATCAGTGCTGGCGCTTTCTCAAGGCTCGTATACCTCTCAATCACAACTGCACTGTAGGAAGTCGCACGCTTTGCCTGAAGCTGCGCTCTGCACAGTACGAGTACTGCAACCCGGGGAAGGACTTGTGGGCCTACAGGTGCGCTTGTCCTATGGTTCATGCAGAGCACGGTCAAGGCTGCGTAGAGGCAACAATGCAAAACGGAGGAAGAAACGTCCTAATCTCTTGCTTGCATTGAGTTTGCTTCGTGACTTGTCTTTGCTCCCACCCTCTTCGTAGCATCATCGCTGTGACAATCGTCTCCTGCGTAGCGAGATTGCTTCCACCATCAGCGCACTGAGTGCGCAAATAACAACAACTCCCACCATTATATACTACATCGTCTGCAGAAAACATTATCATATCTCGAAAACCTAATGTTCAACTAAAGGTCTTCTGCCTGAGCAAAATGCCTCCATCATCAGCAACTTCCACCATTGTATACATTGTCTGCACAAAACATAGTCATATCATGAATACCTATAAAAGTATTAACTAAAAGGTACGTACCGGGGGGCTAGCATATATATATATTATAAAATACACATATATAAACTAACTATAAAATATATATCTATAATATATAATTGATATAAGATATTATATATATTATGTATATAATATATATTTCCAAGAATATATTTTACAATATAGAATCTAATTTTATAACATATATAATTTAATATAATATACTCTAATATGATATAATATGATATAATATAATAAATGCAATTTCATTTTTTATGATCTAATGCAATATAAATATATATAATGTATTAAAATATAATGTAATTTAACATAATATACTATAATATTTTATTTTTCTATATTATACTATATTATATTATAGTATATTTTTTGTATTTTTTAATATTATATTGCATTATGCTACATCATATTACATTACATTATATTATATTTCAATAATTATATATAATATGCAATATCCCGCGTAAAAATATTTACTATATAATATATTATATATAATACATAATACATAATATATAGTATATAATATATTATATATAGTATATAATATATATATATTATATATAGTATATAATATATATATATATTATATATAGTATATAATATATATATATATAATATTTATACTCATAACATATTTAATAAAATAGATATGTGTATAATATAATAATATACAATGTCTAATTTATAATATATACTATATCATATAAACTATTTTATAACATCATATATAAGCATATATATATATATATTTATATGTTTTTTTTGGCGTATACATATCTATCTATATATATATATAAATAAATAGAATGCGAGGTTGGGTGCCCCTTCTGTACTCTTTTGTGAGCATCAAAACCTGCCAGGCCGGAAGCGAACCTTGCACAACTGGCCGGTGCTGCCGTGCCTTTCCCCAGCTGGAAGAAGGCTGGAGCTTCACCGGTGACCCGGCTGCCATGGGCCCACCATGTTTTCGATAATGGAAGCTTTTCATGGGCATCCAAAATAAGACTATCATGAACATCATGGGAAATAATGGGGAAATCATGGGGAAATTCATGGGAATATGAAAAAATGGGAGTATCATAGGGATATTATGGAGTGTTAATCGGGATTAATGTACCCTTTGGGTACCAAACAAAAAAAGATTCTATTTTTATGTGTCATTGTGGTTGTTTCAAAGTGATCGCCTTTTTGGAAATGCCAAACAGCAACTGTTTTCCGGACATACGATAAGGGGTTTCCACTTATCCCAAACCATTTTCCTTATCCTTTTTTGCCCCAAACAGTGCCGCCACACTGATGGGTTCTTACGGTAAGTGTTAAGCCCCGGTGTTCAATCGAGGTGGTAGCGGAAGCGTTTGGCATCTTCCCTGTAAACTTCCGCGCAAAATACGTCTTGTGACATGTCCATGTTGATTTCGATTGCGCAGGCTCGCACAAAATGCTGGCCCCGGGATACAGGTCCGGCATTTCCCCTGTAAATTTCTGCACAAAATGCCTCTTCTGACATGTCCATGTGCATTTCGACTGCGCAAGCTCGCTGTAAATTTCCGCAGGAGATGCCTCTGGTGACATGTCCATATGCATTTCGACTGCGCAGGCTCGCACAAGGTGTGCTTCCCGGTCTTGGGATCGGTCTTCCTCCTCAACATCATCCTCCTCAACATCATCATCTTCTTCCTCAACATTCACATCATCATCATCTTCTTCTCCTCCTCATCCTCATCATCATCATCATAATCATCATCATCATCACCATCATCATCATCACCATCATCATCATCATCGTCGTCTTCGTCGTCGTCGTCACCATCATTATCATCACCATCATATCATATCATATCTTATCATATCAAATCATATCAAATAATATCATATCATATCATATCATATCATATCATATCATCATCATCATCATCACCACCACCACTATCACTATCACTATCACCATCACCATCACCATCACCATCACCATCACCATCACCATCACCATCACCATCACCATCACCGTCCCCCTCCTCCTCCTCCTCATCATCATCATCATCATCACTATCACTATCACGATCACTATCGCTATCACTATCACTGTCACTATCACTATCACTATCACTATCACTATCACTATCACTATCATCATCATCATCATCATCATCATCGTCATCGTCATCGTCATCGTCATCATCATCATCATCATCATCATCAACAACAACATCATCATCATCAACATCAACATCAACATCAACGTCATCATCCTCATCCTCATCCTCATCCTCATCCTCATCCTCATCCTCATCATCAGCATCATCATCATCATCAACATCACCATTCATTCAAATCATCATCAACATGATAATACATTCTCCTTTTCCTCCCCCGCGCTGTTTGGGGTCTCTTGCCGGGACACTTGATCTGAGATGTCTTGGCGAATCGAAGGATTTCACGAAACCCACGAAGGAGAATCTTGTAGTCGGACCCAACGGCTGGCCGACCAGTGGCTCCAACCACTAGATGGGTTTCCATAAATAGGGGCGCCCCTAATAGTTAGATGGTTTATTTATGTTTTTTTCATCGAACATCCGAAAATAAAATGGATGTTACCTGGGGGTACACCCATTTCAAGAAACTTCCGTATCTATATATATATATACATACATACATATACATATACATATATTCACACACACACATAGGGAAACAACAAAACTGCCCAACAAGTCAGCTTAAGAATTTGGTTTAACGAGTCCAGAGAGATGGGTACGTTCCTGAACCTCCCAAAATCATTGTTTCTGGCCAACCTGGAGGCTCCAAGTGTCGAAATTTGAGTTTGTCTCAGATGTCTCAGATGTCTCAGAATTGACACCCCAATTTTTCGATCAACAAAACCTGATGGGTTTCCTCTAGGATTTCTCAGCTGAGGGTTTCCTTCCAGCGTGGCAAGAGCTCCAGCTGCAGCAGCGCGGTGCTATCTCCGGAGCGCCGGCCGAGTGGTTCCCAAACTGGCAGCCTGCCGTGGCACCTGCAGTTGCACCAGCTGCATTAGCTGCACCAGCTGTTTCGGCAGGGGTCCAAGGGGCCCAAGGGGCCCAAGGGGCCCAAGGGGCCCAAGGGGCCCAAGCCTTGCGGAATGGCTTAGTGTTCCCGGGGGAATTGACCAATGACAAAGAGAGGAGGAGAAAGCAGCAGCAAGAAATGCAGCTGGCACTGGCTGCGCAAATCAAAGAACAGAAGGCACGGAAGGAAAACAGGGAACTCTCCAACTCGGTGAACCCTTCGGTGAACCCTTTGGTGAACCCTTTGGTGAACCCTTTGGTGAACCCTTTGGGCACCCCGCGCACTGCAGAGGAGGCTGGGAGTTGAAGAAACTGCTCTGAAACTGGATGAAATATGATGAAATATGATGAAATATGATGAAAAATGTTTAAATGGATCTGGGAATCGGGCCACTTTTTCTACAATCTATAAAGATACTTGTGATTGTGGCAGTTTCTGTTTTTTTTTTCCGACCATGGTTTCCATGGAGGATGCGGAACGTGAGCGGAAGCGGCTCCAACAGCAGGTGGGGGACCGTGGAACCAATCTGTATCTACTGTATATCTTTATCTATGTCTATATCTATATCTCTATATATATATATCTGATTAATGATGTATCAATATATCATACACATCAAAATATATCATAGACATCAATATATCATAGACATCAATATATCAATATCTCGCTATCTATATATCAATATCTCAACAATATGTATAATATATATATATATACATACATACATTATACATATGTATATATCACTATATTGTATGTCTACATATATGTGTATAGAATATGGTAAATCGAACAACAAACTGTCCCTGACCGAGGTTTATTGCTGGGTATCTCCTAATTTGGGATGAGGCAGCTCTATTTATGGTAAGTCCGATAAAAAGTGGATTTGCGCACTGCCTATCCCTCGCTCGGTCGCCATTCTACATCGGGGTGACTGGCATGCCATGCCAGGAGTTGCAGCGAGCGCTAGCGATACAGGTGGAGTGCGGAAGTAGGGTGAAGACACCCATAGCATGTGGAAAAAATACAATTTTCAAGACAGGACCAAGCTATTTTATTGCTGAATGGAGATGGATAATAATGGATAACACATGATAACACAGTTTCCGCCATCTTGTGTATACTGGAGACTTTACATTTGGGTGTGGATCAAAGCAAACACCTTCCAGTGTGTTTTTGAACTGAAGCTGGTTGTTTCAGGTAGGAGGTGATAAGATTGCGGTTGATCTCAGGTAGACCTCACCATTAATGGTCAGTAGGGGAAGCCTTCGAAAGTGGGACACCATTTCAGGATTTTGGAGCATTCAAACATGGTTAGAAGACATTCCCACTTTCACAAGGTCAAGGTGTGAAATTAATAGGGAGGAATGCACAAAAAAACATGTTCTACTCGAATCAAAGTGGGTATTTGACCCTAGTGCAGCCGTTAGCAGTATAGCCCATATTACCTGGTGGGTGGTTTGGAATATTTTTTATTTTCCATAATATATGGGATAATCCTTCCCATTGACAAATATTTTCAAGATGGTTAAAACCACCAACCAGTTACATTTCAAGCGTAGCTCGAGGGAAAAACACCCTGCCAGAGCACCGTGATTTCGAGGTTGAAGAGGCCAGGCAAAGGAAGGAAGAAGCCCGCAGGCGGAGCTTCACCCTTTCTCCCGTAGGAAAAGCGTGGCAAAAGCAGGGAAACTGATGAGGAACCATGGAATTTTGTGTTTTTTCTTGGTTTTTCCCTGAAATTTTAAGACAGAAAAACCAAGCATGAGAAGATGTTGGGACATTCGGTCTTGGCTAGGCGGCAAGAGGCGGAGGATGCCAAAGAGGAGCTCCTCTTTTTTCGTCCTGACGTGAGAAGTTGCACTAAGTTGCAGGTGCATGGCGCTTTGGAAATATAAAAAATCTTGAAACAAGACCCATTGACCATTGCAAGACCGGAAACGCCTGCAGGTTTAGGTTTGTTTTTGATTTTTTGTTTTTTTCTTATTTCTTGGTGTCACCAACGAAGTCCATCACTTGCACACTGAACCAGCGAAGTAGGCCTGGCCTCAATGTGGATAATCCTGTGTTTTTGCTACAAACGTCAGGGACATTCCATCTTTCGCAGGTAAAACACGGTGTTTTCCCGCAAAAACTCGTTGGTTTCTGTGGCCGTACACCGCAGGATCTGTTTTTTGCGGGATTTTGACTGGGTCATTTTTTTCCACTTCGTTCCTGTTCCTGCCGTTCGATCAGGAGGAGAGGCTGCGTCGAGAGATTGCAGAAGAATCGCGGCCGGTGAAGAGGTACCCAATAGCTGGATATAGCTGGATGATTTAGGGGTAGCCCTCATTTTCGGACACCTCTTTTTGATGAGAGGATGTTCAATAGTGAGAAACTAAGCATGAAACATACACTATCTGGAAAGCGAGAGCAAGACGTTTTGAAAGGGCATTGCGCTACGCATACTGGATCTAAACTTGTACGCCCTACCTGGACGTGCATCCAAGTTGGTGGTTCAAGTTTTGAGAAGTAGCTAATCCCATCCTCCCGATCGTATTAGTGTATATAAATGCGGCCATCTTGGGGATTTCTAAATGAATAGATTATAGAGATGATTACTGAGTATTATAGACACTTTCAACTTATAAATGTAGTATATATGTATATGTATATGTATATGTCTATGTGTATATGTATATGTATATGAATATGTATATGTGTATATTGTGAGAGGGTTACGACCCCACACTGATAGCAACTTCCCACCTCCAGGCACTGCGAAAGCGCTAAGGCGCCTTTTCCCCTCCAAGGCACCAAGTCAACGGTCGCACCAAAGGAGCTGGCGCTCCAAGCTCAGCAGGTATGGTCAAACAGGACCAAAAGTGGTGGTGTATCCTAACACCGCAAGTGCAAAACAGGATGGCCCCCGGCCAGCAAAGTTAAATGAGCGGCCTCGCTCACAAAGCAATGGCTTCCAAGCACCGGGTGAAATACCCACCCACCACGATCCCTAGTTGGCCCTCCTGAGCCTCCAGTGCTGCAGCAAGAAATGATGCTTTGACATCCCCTGGGCTTTCGGTTCATGGTGGTGCTGGGTGAGTGCAATGATGTTGAATCACACTCCCAAAAAACCAAAGTTTTCTAAGAAGCATACATCATTGCACTTAGAGCCATGCTGTTCGGCCTGCTCGCCTTTCAGCCATTTGAGACGGTTGCGCGATGACGCACGATTCTTGAGGACTTCTAGTTCGTCATGAAGTCTGTATTGACCGATTTTCAAAGTTTCCCTAAGAAACGTGTTTTCCATTATCTTAGTAAGTGCATCGGCCAATTGCGCTCCTGAGTGGACCCACCTAAGTGATACCCCTTCATCTAGCATGTCCTTTATTGATCGTGCCGTCAACTGCGTTCGGAACTCTGCACAGTTCGGAACTGCCGTTCTTGTGACCAGGTCGTACAGCGACTTGCAGTCTGTTGCTGCAAAGCTCTCTGGGAGATCCTGTGCTTGTATTGTAGCGGTTGTATAGGTTTCAGGCAGGTTTTGAAAGGCAAGTTTTGGATTTTTCCACGGTACTTTTGGATCTTGGATCCATGCCCAACATAGTCTCACCCAGGATAGGTGGTCTAGTACTGAGTTTAACGAAGTTGTTTCAGCTGCCAGGGTGCTTGTCACAACACGCTGGATTTTCTTACATCCCCATGACATTGGATTTACAGGACATGTCGTGTTTTTACCAATATCTCTATGGGTTGCCATTATAAGGGTACCCGTGTGAGAACTTGGGTTACTCTTTGAGGCAAATGATGCATCTGAAAAGGCAAGGAACCGCAGCATTTCAATTGGAATTGGTTGGATTTTGATAGTGACCTCGTGATGTTTCTTGGCTTCATGTAGTGCTTGATTGGCATTGGTGAGGGTTTCCACTGTTGCTTGATTGATGGAGGATTGAAGCATGCTCAAACGGCTTGACAGATCTGGTCTCGTATGGACTGCTGCATATTGAAGACTACCAATGAGTGCTCTCAGTTGTTGTCGTTCCTCTTCGGTCACGGACTGGTCAACCTGTTTTCGTCTCTCAGTGGTGATTTTTATGGGTTCAATGGCTCTGATATATTTGGATTGAGACAAATGGATAGTGCCATCTGGTGTTTGTTGCATGTCGATTCCGGTGAAGGTGAATTGACCAATACGTTTTGTACCAAAAGGATATTTCTTTTCCAACAGGTCTAGCGTGTCTTGAAATCTGCGATTTCCTGCACACAAACCATCATCCACGTGGAGTCCGAGAATGCCATCAGGCTGCAGCGTTTTGGGATCTCTCAGTATGAAAAGGCATGGGTCGAACGGTGACTGTTCGAAGCCTAGTCGCAGCAGTTCTTCTAGTATCGCTTGAAACCACATAAACGGTGCATCTACTAGGCCATATGCTCCCTTTTCCAACTTACATATTTCCATGGGGGACAAGTTCATCATTTGGATAATTTCGGCAACAGGTTCAATCGCAAGTACTCTATCCTTTTGATTCTTTCCTTGAAGAAACGCTGCTTTGATATCAAATGATTTTAAATCCCAGCCATTGGAAGCTATGAGTTGGAGGAGTAGCATTTTTGAGTGTCTTCCCAACGTCGGTGAGTCCCGGGGAACCTCAGCTATCTTGGGGTCAAGATATCCTAGGATGACAAGTCTTGCCTTCGCCTTGAAATCTTTAGTGCCTTTGAGTTGTTCCCTTTCTTGCTGGTCTATTGGCTTCCATGTCAATATCCAACGACATCTTAAGATTTGATCTGGTGGTACCTGATCTCTCATGATTTTGGATATGGTGCCGGTCTTCAACCAGTTTTGAATCTCATGATCCTTGGCCTTTTGGAACTCCAGCTTTTCGGTGGGACTCAGCGTGGCCAGCTTCACTTCGGCACGCTGGCGCTTTGCCGCGGTGGCCAAGAAACTGCATTCATTGGGACATGTTTCATGCCTCCAGCCTTCAATGTCACTCTCGGTCACGTAGAAAGAGCACTGCCATGCTTGATCATCAGACATGGCAACTGATTCCGGTTCTTCATCCATGCAGTGGAGGCCATCACAAACAAGATCTTCATCATCGGTTTCATTTGGCATCGGTGTGTTCTGGGCTTCAAGTTCTCTCCTCATGTCTTGCTCAGGATTAAGCATAGGGGCTATCGTGGTTGGGTTATTTGGAGTTATGGTTGGTGATTCCTCTTGACTTCCACTTGGGGTGTTAAGACTTCCAGTTGCTCCTGGTTCGGCATCGGGTTGGATTTCTGAATGTGCATCAGGTTCATGGTGATTATTCGGATTATTAGGGGGGGTTATTGGATTATTGACCCTGGGTAATGGTGGCAGTGTGACATCCGGGTTAGGATTATGAGCATTCTGGTGTATTGGATGGTTACTCATGTGAACTGGCAATTGACTGGCAATTACTGATGTGGAAGGTTCATTCGGTAGGACGATTATTTCCCTTGCCTCCATTGCAGACACTGGCCGGACATGCTCTGGAGCTGCACGATACAGCTTTGCTGCCATTGTCGTCCACACGGTCTGGGCATTTTCGTGCACGACGACTCGCATTGGACCTGTCCACTGGTCGGCATAGGCCCCTTTTCCTTGACGCCATACCATGACCCACTCTCCAGGATGATATTTCTGAGGCTTCCCCTGTGACTTTCGCAGGATGGATCTTCTGAGTGCTTGGTCATGATCGGTCTGTACAAAAGCTTTTCTGGCGCTTTCTCTACGTGACAGCTGGAGTCGGAATTGGATGCCTTGAGCGGACTCGGAATCCGCTAGCATGTGGGCAGGCAGCAGCTCATCACTGCACACTGATCCTGGCAGCCTAGTCTGTTTCCCTAGGACTAGCACCTCTGGTGAATACCCTTTTCGGATGCTGTATGCATTCTTGGCTTGTGTGCACCACCAGAGGCCCTGCTTTAGGTCATGGTAGTTGTGTATGGCATGTTCCTTTTCGTATCTGTTCAACATGTTTTGAAGTATGGATCCATGTCTTTCGGCTTTTCCATTCTGAAAATGTGCCTCAGTGCTGATGGTCATCATGTGTATGTTGTGTGCCTGTGCAAACTTGGTTATCTCCTCAGAGTTGAGCTCTGTCCCTGCGTCCACGATGATTTCGTGTGGGGCGCCAGCCCACATCAACCAGGACTGTACAAAGCATTCCAAGAAAGCTTCCGCACTACGAGATGGAGCTACACAGGCTACCTGGAAACTGGTTGCACTATCTACAAAATGGTAAACATGAAAGTTTTTCCCTTGAGCATTGGTCCAAGTGAGGCCGTCAATGTGAAGTCGATCATTGAAGTCAAGTTCATCTCTCAGGCTTCCAGGTGACCCTGATTTTGGTGCTTGTTGGGACTGGCACACGGAACATTTGAGTTCCAATGCTGCTCTGGCCACTTCTGGTCGGAATCCCTGCTGTCGGATGATACTACTAAACTTCTCGGCATGCGGATGACCAAGGTTTTTGTGAGCACGGATCAATGCCTGTTGTTCCTCTTTGGTGATGCTTTTGAAGTGCTCGGTCTGTCTTGTGGATTCCAGATCCGCCTTCTGGTGCTCGGTCATGGGCATTTCAGGATTGAAACTTGGTGCGCTCGGACTGGAAGAGTTCTTCGATTCTTCCGGTTTCGGGGAAACCACCGTATCCTCTGACGGTGAATTGGATGCAGTCTGTTCAAGAGGATCTATCCGAGATTCTCCTGCAGAGCTTGGAACTTCGGGATTGCAGGCAAAAACTGTCATATTTAGTCGACACGGATGTGAAGACCTTATGAGCTGACGGTTTGAAAGTTCTTCCCACTCTTCCCAAGATTCATCAGCGCGAATTTTCCCTGTGGTTCTCTCGGTGAAAATGCAGCGAAAGGGGGCTTCTCCCTTCATGAGTGTTTTCGGTGGGCCTATCGTCCTATTGGTTCCCCTGCATATGATTATCTTACTGATGATCTTATCCCCAATCAAGGCTTGAATCTGGGAGATTAGGTGAGGGTTCAGGACTTCCAGTTTGCCTACCCTGGGTGCAAGACTCTGCAACTCTTGAAACACTGACTGCCATTGGGACATCACATCTGTGGGTGTGGTTTTATGGGACAGCTTGCATCTTTTACCCCATGGTAGTTGTTCAACATCTCGTGCACGACTTACCTTCAGTTTGGCCTGAGGACTCATGCGAATGCGTTTTGTCACTCGGTCCCCATGATCGGATCCATGGGCCAGAGTCCATGACCATAGACACTGTTCCTCCTCCTGGAGGTAGGGCTTTTCACGAGGCACGCGCAGCTTGCAGAGGCTTTTGGCAAGACGACGGGCAAACTTCCTAGGGTAATTTTCTGTGAAAGTAGTTCGTAACATATTGTTACCATCCACCTTGCATGTCCCCTGTACCTGTTGGTGTTGATGCTGTCCTCGGCATTTGAGTCCTTCAAGATCATGATACATACTTTGGGAGGAGGTCATGATGGTTAGAGATTTACGCATGTGCAATTCGGACTGGGGATCTCGCAAGTCTCCGGCCGTGCAAAGGTCTATCTCCAGAGCCAACAATTTTTGTCGAATCTCCTGCAAGTATGGAAGGCGAAACATATGGGATGTTCTTGGTTGTTCCCAGTGAAAATGTCCCCCTTGTGATCTTTGGTATCTCATCAACACAATTCCCAAAGCGATTTGATCCATGTGTTGTAATCTACTTTGTTGTAGGGCATCCCAAGACTCTACCGATTTGCTACCATTCAAGTTAGACCAGCTACTCCATGGGCCACACTTTGGACTAAACCACACATGTTTTGGCCTATGGGTTTTGAGGACTTGAAACAATTGTTGGCGCCCCTCAATCGTCTGCAAGTCACCCTCGGCAAGACCAAAGCGAATGGCCCTGTGGCCCAATTGGCGGCACTGTGCTGTCAGCTGGCTTTGAGGTCCGCAGAAGACTTCCAACACATCAACAGCTGGTTGTGTATTGCTTGAAGTGGGATAGGTAGATTCCAATTCTTGGGTTATTTGCTTCATCAATCTGTTGAACATTCTACGTTCCACATTGGTTTCAGGTGCAACAGTCTTCTCATGCGGGTCCAAAGCATCTAGATCCCCAGCCAGCAGTGTCTGAGCCCAGCTAGGACAGTTTTCTACTGTAGCTCGGACCCTTGTTGGAGATTCTCCAACAAGTGCACGATCTGAGACAGGGTTGTCTCCACATGCTGCATGCGGTGTTCCAGTTGGATCACCTCTGGCTGATTGCACTCTGTGCCAATGGCACTCATTCCCATCTCGATCTCGCCCGGGTAGAGCTCGAACTCCTCCTCGTCCGCCTCCCACACTGTCACTTGCTCGGCATGTGGGGTGGCTGTCTTCTTCTTGGGCATGGGCTTTGCCTTGGCGGTCAGGTGGGTGGTCGTTGACGTTCCCCCTGAACACACAGGCACGGTGGTGCCCTCCAGTTCTGCCCTCTCGACCTTGATCTGGACATAGTGGAGGAACTTCTGGTGACTCTCTTTGCCGGACTTCTCGTAGCGATTCGCAAACCACGCCACCCAATCTTGGTGGCTTTGCCACATCTCCTTGTACTTCTTCCCCAAATGGGATTGGCCGAAGTCTACCCTGGCTTCTTCCAGCTGTTGCAAGCTCAGATGGCTGAAGTCGTGCTTGGTCGGCTCCACTGCCGTCTGCAGCTGCTTCAGGCGTTGGCTTAGGCTGGACATGCCTACGGCTCTTGGGAAAACGGAAGCTTCGGGCAAACGTGGTGGCTTTTGAGCTACGATGATCTGTCGGATGCATCATTACCTGCTCAGGATCGGATGCTTGACAACTTCCATCTATGAGGGTCGGCGGCAAATCAAACTGTACATGACGAGTGGACTTGGTTTCGCAATTGGCATTGAGTGTGTCATCGTGTTGTTTCTTGTCATGTGGTGTGGTATGGTGTGTTGTGGCATCGTGTGAATTGGCTCGTGAGGGAAAACTTGATACTGGCTCCATGCACGATTGGACTGGCATTGTTTTGGTCTCTTCGAACACCTGATGCGTCTCAGCGGCATGCTTGGATACGGTCGTATCCACTAGATCATTCAAGTCCAAAAGAAATAGCCCTTTTTCTGTGAGCTGGATGGGGATTGTTTTGCCAAACTTCGCAGCAAAAATGGTCTTCTTACTGGTGTCGATGACTGCCCCAATTGCTCTCAGAAGGGTATTTGACAAAAGGAATGGGGTTGACCCTGGCACTACTGCTATCTTCAACAAAAGGCCATGTATGGGGACTACCAAGGCTTGCTCACTTTGTAGGGTTCCCTGATTCCCGAACCGAAAAGTGATCTTGCATGGACATCTCTGGACGGACTTTCGTGCTTCAGGGGACAATCCATCTAGTAAACCTTTAACCAAGTTACTGCCTATCACCGTTTTGGTAGCACCTAGGTCAACGACTCCCATACAACTGTAAGTTGCAAACATGGCTAATTGCTCTCCGGTTGGAGATATCTCAGCTTGGCATGATGGTGGGAGCTGCACGGATGCATTTGCAGGTGCTGGCATAGGTCTCGTTGGTCTCTGATCTTCATGGTTCCTGGGCAGTGCGGCGCATGAGTGTTTGCGGTGCCACTGTTTGAGAGTTTCTGACAAACGGCTTTTGGTGTCAGCGTTGCCTACCCCTTGAGGTGTACAAACAAAACATTGGCTAACCCATGTTGAAGGAACATCTATGGTGTTCTCGACGGCCGGTAAATTCAGAAACTCAAGTGGAAGACCATCATCTCCACCCTGGCTATGCACGAACGAGGTCGGTGCCTGAGGTCTGGAGGCACCTGTGGCATCGTTCCTGGACGGGCACTCTGCTTTCCAGTGACCAACCTTTCCACACAAGCGGCAGTTGGAACTGAGGATCCTTTGTTGCAAGGATCTCCTGCTAGAGCTATGACCCCTTTGGAACTTCCCTTTTACCCCACGGTTATATCCCTTAGATTTACCCTTTGAGGATTGGGAGAGTGGCCAAAACCCTCGTGACTTAACCTTTTCACTCAATCGCCTACGTGCTTCTGTGTAAGCATTCAAGGCGCTTGCAAGCTCTTCGTCCCCTTGGAGAACATCAGTAGCTGCTGCCTCGAAGTCAGCGATGAGGATGGCATCGGTGTCGCCCTCTTGGATCAAAGTGTCCATCAGATCATCTTCATTGATCTCTTCCGGTGCTTCTGCCAACAGAGTGTTGGAAGGATCATCTTCCTCTTCCAGTTGGTCAGCTACCATGGTGGTGGCATCATAGGTTTTCAACTTCCCTGACTTTCTGCCTGCAGTGATCTCTTGGAAGAAGCCGGCTCCCAACATTCTGATTGCAGCTGAAACTCGAGGAAGGGTCAATCTTCCATCTGTGCTTACCTGACTGTCCACCACGACTCGTTTCTTGTCTTCTGAGGACAGGTTCGAACCACGTAAGGTGATGTATGCCTGCAGTTCTTCCAGTTTCACCTCTTTGTTCAGCAATTCCTGCCAAAGGACATCAGCTCTCGCAAGAAAGCTGTCGTTGGTTTCATCCTGTCGTTGTGTGCAACGAAAGAGTGCTCTCTCCGCTGCCTCATACTTTTTCTCCAGTGGAATCTGGCCCCATTGGCCACCGAGTATCTCAATGATCTGCTGTATGGATTTCTTGTCATTCTGAGTGATGTCTGCGCTCTTCAACTGTAGTTTTTGAAACGCAGACCCAGTACATCCCAAAACCAGTCTTGTTGCCAGTTCAGTCCATTTTCCATCAGGCCACATGTTCATGAGAAGTTGCACCTTCTTTGTGTAGTCGGTGAGGTCATCTTTGGCTGGGTCGAAGGTTGGTACAAGGCTCGCTAACTGATTGGGCACAAGGTTCGTCCCGGAAGCTCCATCAGAAGCTTCTGACATCTCTCCCTGGATACTCAGCTATATGGAGCGAAGCTGAGCTCCGCTACCAGTGTGAGAGGGTTACGACCCCACACTGATAGCAACTTCCCACCTCCAGGCACTGCGAAAGCGCTAAGGCGCCTTTTCCCCTCCAAGGCACCAAGTCAACGGTCGCACCAAAGGAGCTGGCGCTCCAAGCTCAGCAGGTATGGTCAAACAGGACCAAAAGTGGTGGTGTATCCTAACACCGCAAGTGCAAAACAGGATGGCCCCCGGCCAGCAAAGTTAAATGAGCGGCCTCGCTCACAAAGCAATGGCTTCCAAGCACCGGGTGAAATACCCACCCACCACGATCCCTAGTTGGCCCTCCTGAGCCTCCAGTGCTGCAGCAAGAAATGATGCTTTGACATCCCCTGGGCTTTCGGTTCATGGTGGTGCTGGGTGAGTGCAATGATGTTGAATCACAGTATATATATATATATGTATGTATATGTATATGTATATGTATATGTATATGTGTATATGTATATGTATATGTGTATATGTATATGTATATGTGTATATGTATATGTATATGTGTATATGTATATGTATATGTATATGTATATGTATGAATATGTATATGCATATGTAAATGTATATGTATATGTATCTGTATGTATACGTGTGGGTGTATGTGTATGTGTATATTCTAGACACCCTATTTCTGGCATAGCTTATAGCTATAGCCATGGGGATAGTTCGTCCGCCACGAGGCCAGAAGCTCGAGAGTCCCGCCCGGACGACCCTGGTTGTAAACCGCTTGCTTCGGAAAGTTGAGATGATGAATAGTAAGCGGAATTCTCCCAATATTGCGTTATTTCAGGTTAGTGGAATATTGATACTTTACCAGAATGATTTAAGGTTGACCTTTTTGAGATGATTGGTCACCCTAATTGGTCTGATATTAGATATGATGTGAGTCAGGTATTCTGACTTAGCTGGAAATGCAACGAAGAGGTGTCACAGGGTTCCAGCTGGCATAAAATCACAAAAATGGGGAACCATGTAAAATGGGGATATAATGCTTGGGCATATAATTTGGATATAGAAGGAATATAACCAGTGAATATACTGGTAAGTGGTTTCAAACATTTTTAACTTCAAATCTTCAGCCCTATGTATTTGGGACCCGACAAACATATGTTTCAGGGGGTGGCTCACCCACCAACCACGGTCCCCAAATACGAATGATGCGACGACTTACTGCGACCCCAAAAAATTGCTACAACATGCACTTCGAGTTTTGACCCAAAACACCTCAACTTGCTACAAAATGCAACAAAATACAACATGTACTTCTGATTCCGATTTTTAGCAAAACTTTTGTGAGCATCCATCACGCAAAGCCCTCTACTACAGGGGTTTCATGGGTGTATCTCCCATGAAGCCATTGGGAAAGCCCAACTCGAAACCAGGAGTTTTTTCGAGTTCAACCAGGTTGAAACCAGTGAGTTTTGGAGGGATTCAATGGGATGTTTTGTTTTGCCATGCCTGAGGCAGGAGGGATCAGCGTGAGCACGACATGTACAGGAGTGTTGATTCATTGAAACCGTGACAGTGTGGAGATTCTAAGAATTCTAAGGAGAGCAGGGTCAAAGAAAGTAGACCGGCTCATTTTTTGACACGATCCCGAACAAGATAAACGCAGCATTTATATAAATATATATATTAAAAATATATTTAAAGTCAGTCACATTGAAATGAACATTCGTTCAAATCCGTTTTCGATCTGTTTTAGGACCTGGGGTGTAATTTCTTTCATGATCGCTACCCGGTATTTTGACAGTTCGCTATGGAACATCTCCATCAAAGCGTCGAACTAAATGGACCATGGCTAGCCATGTTTTCGTTGTCAGTGCCGCAATGGCCCAGTCGTCCTGAAAGAGCCATTTGTTTCACATGCAGGACCCGCGATGCTCAAGGGTTTGGATGCCCAGTTGCCGAACAGAGATAGATTGGTCATTTGGACCGTAAACGCCGTAAACCATTTGGGGGTTTGGGGTTTCCTTTTTTCCCCTGCAACTCCCACGGGTTGGGCGCAAATCATGAATTTCAATCCCAACTTTGCCGCAGGCGAGACTTCTCACGTGCTGAGCCAGGCCAAGCTTCGTTGGGGCGTCAGATCAGTGGATGAGCTTCGTTGGGGCGTCATCAGTTGGAAGCCCCGAAAAACTTGGGTTTCTTCGTTCACCAAAGTTTTTGGGCTGGTTGGCGATTTTGGAACATGAATTTTATTTTCCATTTCATATATGGGATGTCATCCTTCCCATTCACGAACTCGTAATTTTCAAGATGGTGCACCACCAAGCAGTGGGGGATGTCTTGGGATGTCCGCCTGCAGGGAGAACCATGAAGAAGAGCCGAGAGCGGTTTGGAGCTCGACGTATCACTCGCTCAAGGTTTGTTTGAAACTGGAGGATTTATAGCAAAGCCGAAAAAGATAGGAACATCCTACGAAAACATGGGCAAATGACATTTCTGTACATTTCTATCCTATAGTTTATCATTATTTCCCCCAAATTGCCATTTGGAGGTATACCGTATACCACAGTTTTGGACACCATAAAGGTCAGTCTCGAAAACTGAAAAACTGAAAATAAGCAGCTGGTAGCTACTGAGCAAGCCTTGGTTTGCTTGGTCAATTGATTGAATTTTATACAGGCTCACGTGGCGCAATAAGTAAGCTCACACACACATAATATATATATATATATACTGTATGTGTGTAGAATTGTGTACATATATTATATGAATTTATATGATATATATATATATATCTATTGTAATACTGGATGAATCAACCCTTGGGCTGTTTCATGAATTGTGGTGTTACCACGTGTTACCATTTTAGTAGCAGACCATCGCATTTTTTTGGGGTAAGGTTTATGAGTGATATATATATATATATGTATATGTATATGTATATGTATAATATATATATATATTTATGTATAATACATACATATCTATATATATATATGTATAATATACATATATATGTATAATATACATATATATGTATAATATATATGTATAATATATATGTATAATATATATGTAATATATATATATATGTATATATATATATGTATAATATATATATATATGTATAATATATATATATATATGTATAATATATATATGTATAATATATATATATGTATATATGTATATATATATATATGTAATATATATATATATGTATAATATATATATGTATAATATATATGTATATGTATAATATATGTATATGTATAATATATATATGTATAATATATATATATATATATGTACAATATATATATATGTATAATATATATATATATGTATAATATATATATGTATAATATATATATATATATATATACATGTAATATATATATATACACACATATATATATATACACATGTATATATATATATATACGTATAATATATATCAAACACACATATATATATATATATGCATAATATATATAGATATTATATTATACACACACACATATATATTATATATATATGTTTGATATATATATATGTAAGTATATAGATATCATAGTATACCAGCAAACATGATCTTTCTTCCAGAAAATATCCAAGGTTAGCCACAGGTATGATGGCCCAGCGATGGCCGTAATCCCAGACCAAGAATTCCAGCAAGGATGTTATCCTGTAGGAAATCACAAAAGGTCAATCAATGACGCTTCAAACTGTGGCTATTTATTCAATCAACTAAGTTATCCCAAATGGGTGTGTCTGAATACGGTATACTAGTACCATCCAAATTGCCATTTTGACAAGGAAAATATCAGGTTCTAAACATTTCCAAACCATTGGAGTTTGGGTGTTTTATCCCCAAATTTTCAGGTACCAAAGCAAAATATTACATATTTTCTTGATCTTCAGGCTTTTGAAGAGGATCATTAGGAGGTTCCCCTAATTTTTGAAAGGGACTCCTGGGTCGGTACAGTGCCCTTCAGGGTACGGGAAGAAGATGCGGAAAGAGGCGGGAACATCTTTTGAACATCTTCCGAAGATCTTCCAGCAGCATCAAGAGGAAACAGTGTCAAATGATGGGCCAAACATGGCTAGCGGATAGCAATATGTTGGGGCAAGATGTTGGAATTCTTTCATGTGATAAAGCCAAATACTAAACCATTCCCAAGATCACCATGAGGTAGTAACAATTATCCCCCAATGGCAGGCAAAAATCATTGGTTCATGTGTTTGTCCATCTTTCTGTGCAGCGACCTCGGGTTGGTTGATGAGTTTTGGGGATTCTACTAACCGGTACAGTGCAGTAATTTTTTTTCTGTCTCGCAAACTTGTCTGGACTGTCGAGGTTTGCGGAAGACTCGTGACCGGCACACTCCTCAGCAAAGACGGCAGCTGTTTGCTGCCGTGATCCGTCTATCTTGGCTGTCAAAATTGCTACTGTAGCGCTCACATCACAATGAGTCAACATGCGCTCCATCATTCAACGCTCGTCCCAAAAAAGGTTAAGAAACCAACCTCAACTCTTCTGGAAACACCTTTTTGGATGTTCACTACGATTTTCTTGACCCAAAAACCAAAGACTGGACAGCAACAATCTTGTGCTGCATAGATGTCGGACAATCCCCCCAGCCCAATATCAAGTACCACCTCCACCGTTTTTTTTTTTTTCGGGGTATACAATATTAGGGGAAGGGAGACTATGATCATCAAGGTGTCCTCTGGAAAGTTGTTTGGTTTCTTACTATCCGCTGGGGAGGATTGATTTTCCTGGGAGACTGGAGCTAAAATCTTCAGGCTTCGTGAGCCCCGCGCTCGTCGACCACGCACCAGAGACAGTGGTCAGATGGCCTAGGGTTTTTTCGGACCCATGGTGTGAACTATCTTTATTTTTCAACCACATTTGGGATGATGATCCGCTATTAACTTTCATATTTTTGGGTGGGTTGAAACCACCTACCGTTTATGTTGTTCAACTACACATCTTAGGATCATCTTGACCTAGCTATATGCAGATTATTGGCCCAGTTGTCATTGAGCTTTCGATCGCACTTGTGGCTGTATGGTTTCGACTCTGACATGACACATCCGCTTTTTGTAATTTCATCCTAAGCGTTGTTGGTGCCATTCTTGTTGGTCAATCTTCCTCTCTTCTGGTGAACCTGCATTTTTTTCAGCATCCATGATCGTTTGCCTTGGTTCAAACCCAAGAGACGATTAGTGTTGTAAACCCACCAATGCTTGTGATGGTTTCAATCCCATCCATTTCTGGTTTTAAGTTGGGGATGGCTTATAAGGATTATAGTCCTGGTATAAAAAAAATGCTGTTACCCTCTGGTAAACGTTTACAGAAAGCTATTGAAAATGGTCCAGTCGAAATAGTGGATTTACCCATTGAAAATGGTGGATCTTTCCATCGTTTTTTGTATGTTTACCAGGCCGGGTACCGCATTTCTGGAGCCCTGGAGGTGTGGTAGCGTCGCCTGTGCGCGATGTGCCGTCGTCGCGGGCTTAGACGACCCTGCGCAAAAAAGATGGAGACCTCGATCTCCCCAATGAGTATAACATCTTATAACCATTAGTTATCCAATAATCATAACCATTATAACTATTTTTTTTAACCATGATCCCACTGATGATATCTGATGATATCCCAATTATAAAGAAACTTATAACTTATAACCATTAGTTATGATGATCAAGCGGGAGTTGTATTAGCACAGGCACCATGCAGGCTTTTGGGACGGTAAGGCTGGTTAGTCTGCAGAGACGCGGTGAGATCCCAATATGAACAGGTCGATGGTATTGTGGCTTCTTAAATTGCTCTTATTGCTTAGATTCAGAGTGATTTTCCCACTATCGGACATAGATCCCCAAGGTTCGGAAAGACATCCATTTCCTGGTTCTTCTGTTTCAGCTGCAGGCCCATCCCCTCGACGGTGCCTTGCCGCAAGTCGTGGCCATCGAGATCCCCCATTTTTGGCGGGTTGACATGTGCACAACATGGTACATGGGGTATGGTATGGTATGGTCATTTGTGATTTTTCAGGATTCCTTGTAAGGGGAGACCATGCCCTTCTATGGGCTCGGGGCACCGTTACTTAGGCCTATGGAGCTGCTGACACAGCCGGCACCTGGGTTGGAACATGTGCGACCCTGAAGGGTTGGGATGAGGTGGCGAGAACCGCACTGATGTGGATGGAATTTGGGGATTTCAAAAAGACATTGAACCAAACTGGTTGGTGGTTTGGAACATGAATTTTATTTTTCCATAATATATGGGATAATCCTTAATATTTTTCAGAGGGGTTGAAGCCACCAACCAGCAAAAGAATGTATTCTTTCGTTGAGACCAAGACACTGCAGGTTTATACAGTCCAAGGCATCTTGTGCATGAGAACTGGAAGAGTGACTGGACCAGCGCCGAGATCTGCTGAAAATTCCAAATTTCCTTGGGAAGCCCATTGCGGAGGAATTTTCACGGGTGAATTTTCCACGAGACAATGCTCACGGCAACCATCTGCTTAGGTTCGCCTAGCCCTGCGCGGCGAGGCCAAGTCAAAGTCATTGCCCAAATCCAAGGGTACTTGAACAACTTGAACAACTTGAACAGTTTAGTACTCAAAGTGGGTAGTTTGTCATGGTTTTTCTGGATCCTTTGAGCCCAAAACTCTGACTCCTTCCCCTGAAATCCGAGGACTCTGTTGATTCAAAGGCCAAATCGGCCCAATCCAATGATTTATCATCATACCAACCGGGCCATGGCTGGCAACTCTTGAAACAGCTGCAGATGGTGAGTTTGGCTTCCATGGCTTTGTGGAGCAGCAGCATGGGACCTCAGATGCCGAAAAATTCTGGAATGATCTTTGTAGCTGGTTCAGGGCTTGATTATTGTGATAGAAAACCCACCAGAGGAAGTAATTTGGTAGACCTAGAGTTTCAATATGTTTCAATGCATTCAAAGCTGTTTGCAGCAGCTTTAAATCTGAAAAGATATAGCGCCAAGTGCGACCCTCATCCCCCTGGATGAGATGTTTGTAAACACTGACAGCGCAGATCCGCCAATGCCACGGAATAGATGCAACGACCTTTCCAATCGGAAAAAAGTGAAAACACCTTTGGCCAACTGCTACGGAGATCCATATTGCAAGCTATTCTGGCCACCACTCAATGGCTAGAAGATCTGGAAGGTTCGTTTCCTGTCTTGCCCAGATAGTCGAAGATCACATTTTTAAGTCCTAGACTACTAGACGTTGCAGTTTTCTGATGTGTTTTCAATCGAAAGATTGCAAGACCCCCAAAATTGTCCGAAAAACCAGTCCACCAATCCAGAATTCCATTATATCTATATCCCCCTTAAAAAAAACCCTGGGACCCCATTATTTCCCTACAAAATCATCAACTATTCATCAGCTATTCATCACCAATGGAAGCCACAGCAGCCAAGCGGATGCTAGGCGACAGCTGGCCAGTGAAATGCAACGCCAGGTGGGGTGGGAAATGCACTGGGTGTGTTATCGAAATGGGGGATAGCTTAGGCAAAAGCCGTAGGTTTTCATACCATTTTTCTTTGTGATATTTGGATGATGAAAATGGGGTCCCCATTTTGAGAACCCCGCATATGAAATTCTATACTAATTTCTTTCTGTGATGTGGCCACGGCCAGTCGATTTCCATTGCCTAGATGACCGAAAAAGATATGGCTATGGATCAATACCTATAGATACATTTATAGTGGGATGAACATCCATTTACCAGCTATTTTGATGTTCACCAGGGGTACAAGGTTTTGACACACAGACCTCGGCCCAAGGTCCTTCCAGGGGTAGGTCTGTACAATCCGAAGCTTGGGGGGGATGCCGTGCAATGGTTCGAACCACCTCCATTTGGAACCTATTTGGGAATCAGTCAAAACAGATGACATCGTGGACGTGCAGGGGGAACTGGTTGTTCATGATAGCAAAGGATCCCAACACCTTTTTCGAAGTACTATCCATCGGCGTTTGTTCACTGTAAGGGGTCACCTGGCAGTTGGTCAGGCATACAGCTTCTTGCAATGCAGGGTTAAGGTGGACGGAGATCGCTTCCAAATCGATGCTGGTTCAGGGTATGCCTTGAAGTTGCCTACACCGACAACCACCATGTATCGAGATGCAATCGAAGTTTGCTCAGGCATTGCCATGATGTCACAAGGGATTGCTTCTTGTGGAATGACTGTGAAGGCCACCAATGACTTGCAAGCCACTAACTGTGAGTTCCTAGTCAAACAAGGGTTTTCTGAGGTCATTCAAGGTGACGTTAACTCAGTCGAAGTCATGGCCGCCTTGCATGCAGCACATGGAAGTCCAGCCCTTTTGTCAGGCGGGTTCAGCTGTCAGCCATGGTCAGCATTGGGTGATAAAGCAGGCATGAAAGACCCCAGGTCGAAATCGCTGATTGGAACCTTGAGAACTGGTTTTTTCCTCCGTGCCTTTGCCATACAGCTTGAGTGTGTTGTTGAAGCAAGTCGGGATGAAGAGGTGAGAGCAGTCATTGCTGAATACTGCAAGCTCACGCACTACCGACAGTCAGAAATTGCCTTGTCATTGGAGACCATCATGCCCACCAAAAGAAATCGATGGTGGTGTATGCTCACCAATGCAACATTGCCTCAACTGCAGTTGTCCCCATTGCCTTGTTTGTCCCGTCCACCGGTCTTAGGGGATGTCATACCAGTGTGTCCTGCATGGCCCTCAAAGCATATGCAACAACTTGAGTTGGACCAGTATGAAACCAGAAAGTTTGCTGAGTTTGGAGGGTTGGATAACAACATGGTTAAGCACAATGGAGTTGTCCGAACTGCTTTGCATGGATGGGCAAACCAACTGACCCCTTGTCCGTGCAAGTGTAGAAAACACCCCATGTCAGAAGAAAGGCTCAAAGCAAAAGGTATGTTTGGTGCACTGGTTCGCATAGCAGGGGAATATACCACCACGTTGGGCCAACTTCCCAAAACAAGACACCTCCACCCATGGGAGCTGTGTGTGATTCATGGGGGCATCCCGGAATACGAATGGAACCCAATGAGATACTCAATTGCGGCTTTGGGACAGATGGCATCGCCTGTTCAGTCATGCTGGGTAACAGGCCACCTCTTGGCCGCTTGTGATGAGGCCATGGGCCATCAGGTCCGACTGCCTGAAGAACATCTGTGGAACCATTTTTGCCGATTTGCCCAGGCCATTGCGAACACCCAGCCACAAGTGCATGGGACAGAGGGTTTCCAACAGTATATGCAGGAAGTTAGAGGCAATCTGCTGGCCAAGGTAGTCATGGCCAAAGGGCCCCAATGTACAGAAGTGAGATTTGACTTCAACAAGAACGAAGAAAACAGCCAGCGTTCAGGACGCAAGAACCTGCCAAATTCTTTTCCCACTGGGGACATCAAACAGCCAGCGGACAAGACGCAAGTACTTGTGAAAGAACACAAACAGCCAGGGAACAGGGCCCAAGAACCTGACACAAAAAATGCGGAGGAGACGCCAAGACTCCACCCTCCTATGTGTGTTCATGCCATGCCATCTGGTGCTTTCGTCACAGATGGCCCAACCCCCCGCCCCATGAATATCAACCACTCAGGTGGCCAGCCAGCGGTCCCAGGTGACGGCATGATGCAGCCCAAGAGCAATGATGCAGCCATTTTGCCACCGTGCAGCCTAGCCACTGCTGTCAAACCTGACAGGAACACAGGCGGGATTGTCGCATTTGCATCACAGGACCTGTTTGTTGCAACTGATGTAACCACCCCAGCCAAAGATGCTGGGGAGCTGTCCGAAGTTACGTACAAAGAAGCCGAAAGTGCCTATGCAGTTGCTCCGACCATCGCAACCCCAGGCCCTGAGCAGATGGAGCATGCTCTTTGCAAGCTCAAGAGAAAGATGCAACACGATGCCATGAGCACAGCTGACACCCAGGAAGCCACCAAGGCTCCCAAACTTGGTCCAAAGCCAATCGAACATGATAGGCAAGCTGCTGAGGTTTCCCATGTAGTCGATCCAGGACCAAAGACCGCTGACATCACTGCATCCGTCATGCACCCGACCACCACCGGGCCAACCCAGGCCACCAAAGCCTTGCAACATGCAGGTGCATCCGAAGTTGCATGCAGTTTAGAGCCCATGCAATTGCAGCCGACCAACACTGGCCACATGCCACATGATGTACAGAGTGCAGCAAGTCATGGAACTGGAGGTGCAGAGACCGAACATGCCACACATGCCCATGGTCATGACCAGGTAGGGGATGGTTTCACTCAGGAAATGCTACATGCTGTGGAGGCGTATGAAGCTCATAGTCACCATGACAAAGCCGATCACACGCATGTCATCCAAGTCATCAGGCAAGATGATGTGATCCCAACTTACCTCTCAATCCCCAAAGAAACCACAGTGGGGTCTATCACTGTAGCGGAAGCCAAGTTGGGTAGCTTGACACCCCCAATTTGTGTCAACACCTCGGTAGGCACCAGAATTTTATCAGCTGCCAATACATCCCCGTACCAACAAGTCTTCCTGAAGGAAATGGCTAGGTATGGTAGCGGTAGAACAAGTGATGAAATCACCATGCCCATTGAGCTGCTTGAGCGAGACGCCATCACCCGACTGGCATTGTTGTACCGCCAAGAAGCTTTCGTAGCTGATGATGAAATGCGTTACTACCTTTCAATGCTGACTGCCACTGGCCAAGCCATCCATGCTCCGATTGCCATCATCCCTGAGGAATACCGAGATGAAGAACTTGAGCTACTCCTCAAAGATTGGTTCGCCAAGGCAATGATTGTAGCAGAAGCACCGTGCACCATCATCACAGCCATATATGCACACCATCACTGGTTTCCTGTTGGGATGAAGTTTCAGCATGGGTTTGTTCAGGTTTTCACAACACCTGGGGGAGCGGATTGGGTCCACATTGCCATCAGAGACATGGACAAAGCATGTTCTTTGCACACCACGGAAATTGCTTCCAGCTTCCTGAATGACTGTGGATTCCAGAGCGTAGCATGGATCATGAGTTTTGTCTTTGACCCTTCACACCACCAGAGCCAAGCGAAACCGATCATGCCAAGCACAGCCATTGCCTGGAGAGGAATGTTCGAACACTACATCATTGCCCAGGGAATTGCCGATCAAGTTGTTTCGCCCACCTAATTTTCCTTTGGAGGAGTTAATGGGGGAGACATTGTGCTTTCTTTACAACAGCTCCTACATGAACATGGCGTCCCAAATGACCAAGTAGGCGAGAGAGCAAATACCATCCTTGACAAGCTTGGTCGCTCCACTGTTGCCAGAACCTTGCGTGGGTCCCAACCTTGGAGAGAGCTCAAACAGATTGCCAACCAATGTAGCCCAAAACTCCAGTTGGTGTTGGCAAATGAGTTGCAGGAAGTCATCAAAAACAGAACCGAACAGAAACAAAAGTTTGGTTCAAAACAGATGAAGAAAAAGCCTAGCTTCCAGCCGAAAGCACCGATCCAAATCCAAGCGGATGACATCGGAATCCCAGATGGAATCTTTCAAGACGCATCCGGCCATGCCATCCACCAGAAAGCACTTGTGAACATTGGACCAGAAGCAAGTGGGATCATTGTGGCACAGGCGCAACAGGCAGTACCATACCTGAAGTTCACACAGCCAGTCTCAACACAAGGACTTGCACTCCTGGTTCTGGACCACATGAACCCGCTCATGCATGGAGTTGGAGAAGAAATCAGATTTCCAGCCAGGTTCGAGAAAACAAGTGAGCCGATCCTTATCTCTGCCAAATTGGTACAACTTGGAGCAAGCCTTGTTAGCCGCACTGTTCCAGACCAAGCCTTGCGAGTGGATGAGGTTCACACTCAGGTTGTCAGGGTAGTCATGTTCCGTGATGAGATCGACAAGAAATGGGACGCCATTCTTGACAAACCTGTCAAGTACTTGGTATCAATCGTAAAGATGTTGCAACCTAACCCTGATGGTACCTCCGCCATTATGGATGTATGGGACATGCAGTGGCTCAATGAAAAGATGGAACGCACCAAACCTGCGGATGCAAGCTTGTTCATGGCGTCGTTCAGGATGGAGCGCAGTGACATTGTGGATGCCCTCAAGGAGTCAGGCACGGCAGGTTGTTACCTCGAACCTAGAAGCCCAGATGGCAGATCCCCGGCAGTTGAATACAGGGTCATCTGGCTTAACAAACATGACAAGCAAAGCGCCATGATTGCCTCACAGAGCACATCCCAGTGGACATGCATCGTGCGTTCAGGTGGACGTTTTGGTCTGAGAGTCAAGGTACATGATGCCCAGAAAGTCCATGAACAACATAAACCCATGACACCGTTCCTCACATCAGACCAAGTGACAACATTCCACGTTGGCCCCATCCCGCATGGATCAAACAGATCAGCCCTTACAAAGCTGTTCCAATCATGGTCATGGCAAGCAAGGCCATGCCAACCCAAAGGCAGAACACCAGATGGGAAAGGGGTAGTATGGGAATGTCAGGCCATTTGCAAACCACCATACGAGGTATATCAGCTTGAACATGCCGACGTGCTCATCACTGAGGTGCCCAGGAAAAGCCAGCGACAGGCCATGCAAGTCCCCAGCATCCAAGCATCAGCCAAGACGATGGCCGTCCTCAAAGCATCCGATGCAGCCGAAGCAGCCGACCAAGACCCATGGGAGACCAATGACCCATGGGGAAATTACCAGACTCCAGTCAAAGCACCCAAGAAAGCGATTGCCAGCGAGGTCAATGGACATGATGACATTGACTTGATTGCAGCCAAGGTCCAACGAAAACTCCAGCCGAATTGGCCACAACAGCCAGGTACCAAGATGGAAGTTGATCCAGATGCCACTGAAAACCTCCGCATCCAGACCGTGGAAGATCGACTAGCCAAGCTGGAGCATACAGTCCAAAGTAACCATGTGCAACAAGGAAAGCATGCCCAGGAACTTGCTTCGCAGATTGCCCAGGTTCAACACAATGTGGACCAACAAGGGAAAGCGTTCCAAGCGCACCTTGATGACAAGCTCGACAAACAACTCCAACAGATAGAGCAATTGCTTTCAAAGAGAAGTAGAACTGAGTGACAAATAGGGCTGGCCCCTTGCCATGAGGGGCTGCAGCCCCACACACGAGCGCACTTTGCGCTGACCAGGGTTTCCCATGGGCTGGCCCCTTGCCACGAGGGGATACAGCCGCACGCACATGCGCATTTTGCGCCAACCAGGCTTTCCCATGTACAGAATTCCAATCCCATGCATCCGGCTGATCGCCCAGAGGAGAAGCAGCCGCCAGCACAAGCGCATTTTGCGCCAACATCCGTTGCCAGTGTACAGAAGTGCGCCCGCACCAAGAGTCAAGCTTGGTGGAGCCGAAGCCGCTCCGCTACCAGCCGTGGGTCCAAGTTTGGGGGGAGCACAATGTTTCTTTTTACATTCATCTTTATGATGGTTGCACGTATCGGTGAAGCAGCACATCCAGGACCTTATCCACGTTTTGGCATAGCAAACCCAACAGGAGCCTTGAACAAAAGCCACCTGTTCCAAGAAGCATCTGACCTTAGTGCCCCCACCACATGGGCAATCAGCGAGACCCATCTCACCAAAGAAGGGATACAAAGGTTCAGACACGAGCTGAAATTCAAGTCAAGCCAATGGAAATACATCCCAGGAGCACCAGCTCAGCCTTTGACCAAAGCACCAGGTTGTATAGGAGGTAAATACACCGGAGTGGGCATCCTTACCAACAGTGCGGCCAGAGCACTGCCAAATGACTGGAGCCAAGAAACCTGGGAGTCAGCCAGACTCCAAGCATGCACAGTGCGGACCCAGCAGCAATGGGTCAAACTTGGAGTGGCATATGGGTACGCAAAGCAGCCGCACACCAGAGCCACCCGTGAAGCCACTGACCAGATCCTTGAAAACCTGACGGAGCGCATTGTTTTCCAAAGTAAGGGCTACCGCATCTTATGTGGAGACCTGAACCAAGATGATCCTGATGCCCTTGAACAGTTTGCCATCTGGAGAGAACATGGGTTCATGGAGGTACAGGACATTGCAGCCCAGAAATGGGGACAATCCATCCAACCAACATGCCATGGTAAAACAAGGAAAGACCACATGTGGATATCCCCTGAACTGATCCCAAAGCTGCGTAAAGTCATTGTGGACCCTACTTATTTTGCCGATCATGCCATATTGATTGCCGAGTTTGAGGAATTTGGCAACACCCCGCCGGTCCCAATCTGGCGCAAACCAGGGCAAATACCGTGGGAAGAAATTGATGTGGACACCTTCCATCAGGAATTTCAAGATCCTCAATGCCAGGGAGGTGGAATGACGGAAATATTCACTTGTCTGGAAACCGCAGTTGATAGTCACATGAAGGGAAAAAGGATGAATGGTTTACTTGCCCAACAAAAAGGACGATGCCAGACCACAGCTGCGTCCATGTGCAAACATGCCATCACACCCAATAGGCCCTCTCCAGATCACATACATGGGAGAGCACTTCATCCACACGAAGTGGTGCAGACAGCTCAGGCGCCTTCAGAGCCTTCATTGCCTGATGCAATCCACCAAGCCTCCCCAGCAACTGCAAGTAGAAAAGGAAGACTTGTGGCAGGCGATCAAGTCCGCAGCTGGATTTGGGGGGGTTTTGCCGAGGCATGGAAACATAGAGCTTGTGCCTCACCGCAATCTCCACATGCACTGCCGAAGAAGCTCCCATCACCCGAAGTTGTCGAGGCAATTTACATTGACTTCAAAACTGAGTTTGAGGCCTTGGAAAAAATGCTCATCAGAGCAAGATGCCAGCGAGCCAGAGACCTGCGAATGTCAGACTCCAACGCCATCTTCAGGGACGTTGCCAAACCCAGATCGTTGCCGGTCAGCACTGTTGTGGTCAATGCAAATGCCAACATCACTGAGGTCAGTGCCGATGGATTAACCATAAAGTACGAACCGTGCAGTCTCAATACAGAAAAACAAGTGAGGACACAACATGGACCTCTTGAGATTCAGCAACACCAGCCAGGCCACTTGACCTTAACCAAAGGCCAGGCATTGGAACCAGGTGACCACCTCGCTCAGCCCAAGCTTGCAGGCGACTTGCAGGACGTCTTCAAAGCCTTCGAAGACCTCTGGACACCAATGTGGCAAAAACACAAAGACACTAGCGTGGCCAAATGGGCCCCAATCATGCAGGAAATCCAGGAAAAACTGCCACAGCCGCCAGAAGAAATGCTGATGCCACCGCTGACACCAGAACAGTGGTTACGAGCAGTCAAAAGGAAAAAATCCACCAGCGCAGTAGGTCCTGATGGTGTGTCCAAACAGGACTTGCTCAATATGCCACCACCACTTGTTACCAAACTGGTCGATCAAATCAATGACATCGAGCATGGACGCAAAGAATGGCCGCAAGCAGCGATGGTAGGTTTGATATCTGCTATCGAAAAACACAGTGCAGCAGCCACCCCGGCAGAATACAGACCAATCACAGTCCTGAGCATGATCTACAGGACATATAGCTCAATCAGGACTAGACAGGTCCTGAAATGGATCCATCGCCAAGCACCACCAGGTCTGATTGGTAACATGCCAAACCAATCCACAGTCCAGGTGTGGAGAGCCCTTGCAGAACAAATAGAACATGCGCAGTACTTCCAATCAGAATGGACAGGCACAGTGACTGACATATGCAAATGCTTCAACACGCTGCCCAGACATGTGGTATACTTCCTTGGACGTCACTTAGGTTTGCCCAGGTTTTTCATGCAAAGCTGGATGCATACCCTGTCCAATATCCAGAGAAGGTTTGTTGTCCAAGGGAGTTGTTCCCCGGCAATACTGAGCCACACAGGGTTTGCGGAGGGTGATCCGTTGTCAGTCGTGTCGATGGTCTTGGTCAACTGCGCCATGCACACCCTGGTCATGCAGAAAGTTAGCCCCATCTCAGTGATCAGCTATGTCGACAATTGGGAAGCTCAGTCAACCCAGCCTGAAGCGACGTGCCAAGCACTGCAAGCCATGATTGACTTTGCGGAGGCCATAGACATTAAGCTCGACACTGCCAAAACCTTTAGTTGGGGAACAAGCACTAGTAGCAGAAAAGCACTGAAGAACCAAGGCCATGTAGTAATGCTGCACTCCAAAGACCTGGGAGGACACCTTAACTACAGCAAAAAGGCCACTAACTATTCAGTGCGTGCCAGAATCACCCAAGCCAAGCCTCTTTGGGGATGGATGAGCAGATGCCAAGCCACCTCCCAAAGGAAACTCCGAGTTTTGCACACAGTCGCCTGGCCGCGATGTCTCCATGGAATTGGAGCAGTTGACATTGGCATTGACCATTTCACCACCATGCGGGCGTCAGCAATGAGTGCCTTGAGATGGGAAAAACATGGCTCATCCTCGCTCATACAGTTTGGTCTCATCACTGAACCTCGCAATGACCCCCACTTTTATGCCATCCAAGTGACAGTCATGCAGTTCCGACAGTATTGCCAACCTCACCTGGCATTTGAAGTCCTTGACATGTTGGCCCAACAACCACCAGCCAAGGTCCTGCCGGGACCATGTGGAGTACTCCTTGCCAGACTCCACAAGCTCCAATGGCAGTGGGATGGAAATGGCTATGTGACTGACCACCAAGGTTTTCAATTGCACCTCATGGACACGCCAATTCAGCTCCTCCAAAAGCGCCTTGAACATGCATGGGCATCCATGGTAGGACACAACATGTCATCCCGGGCAGAGTTTGCTGGCCTTGGAGATGTGGACGTAGCATGCAGTAACCATACCCACCACAACTTTTCCCCAGTCGAACAAGGGCTGTTAAGAGTTGCCATGAACGGCTCCTTTTATACGAGGGATAAACAGTTTTCCAGTGGTAGGTTTACAAGCAAGCAATGCCCATGGTGTCCAAGCGAAGACAGTGTTTTTCACCGTACATGGCAATGTCCCAGGTTTCATGCTGAAAGGGAAAAAATTGACCATGGTATCCGGAAGTTCCTCATGCAGCAGCCGGATTGCTCCAAACTTCACGGATGGTTCATTGAGGGGGCCGAAGATAAAATCTTTCGCAAAACCCTTTTGGACATTCCTGATACAACCCAGCAGTTCGAGCACTTCACATGTTTGCCAGAGACACTTCACTTGTTCACAGATGGTAGCGCAAGTGACCCCAATGACCCACAGTGTAGACTTGCGACATGGGCGGTTTGCCTCGCAACTTTCCCAGACATGGGGTTTCCGACAGTTGCAGCAGGAGGGATTCCAGGGCTCCTCCAGACCGTTTTGCGTGCGGAAATCATGGCAGTCATAGCTGGGTGTAAGTTTGCAATCCACCATAGAAGGCCTTTCTACATATGGACTGACTGTCAGACAGTCTTTGATCGCCTCCAGGTCATCCTAAAGGGAGAAGGGCTTCCCATCACCCAAAAACAGAAAGACCATGACCTGTGGGAGATTTTTCGCAGTGTAGTCACCGTAAGTAGGAACCTTGGCCTTTTCCAAAAAGCACTTAAGGTCACCTCCCACCAAGGAGAAGCAGAGTACTCCCATGCTGTTGACAAATGGGCCGCCCAGGGAAACGAAGCAGCAGACACAGCAGCCACATGGGCTCGACACCTTTTGCCGCCAGCCGTCCTTCAAGCACATGCCCGGCTAAAGCTAGCACGTATCACAAGGTACCAAGCTTGCAAAGCAATGCATAGGTTGCTTGTTGATATTGGTTTGCAGGTAGTAGCCGAAAAGTCAGCACTGCGTGCTCAAGAGGAGGTTGCATGGGACACATTGGCGCAGCAGACCCAGCCAATCAGTGAAACAGTCAGTTTTGCTCAGCTACCAGTAGAACTTTTACCACCTGACGAACATAACCTGGGGGAGGGCTTTAGCGTGATACATCAATGGTTGCTGCAGCTGACGAAAGAACATGACGCCGAGCCGCTTTGGTTGTCAAGCTATCAGCTATATGCACACTTCCAGATGAGCATGAATCACCTAGGCTTTTACTATGACAGGAAATGTAAGCAGTTCCTCCCACTTGCGCAATCTGCACACAAGAAGAACTACAACTTCATCAGGTCTGCAGCATGGTTTTGCGCTATGGTTAAAAGCTTCGCCAAGACAATAGGGACGGAGTGCACCACTCAACCAAGGTTGCCACATGGTACACTTTTCAGGTCCTGGCAGAGGTGCATCCTCTTGCCGGCTTCACCTAATACTTTACAAAGGGTTCATCAGCTATTTGCACATCGTGGCACAACTGCTGTACAATCAGTCCATGCCGCCATGGGGCGGTATTCTGACTTTTGTGATGGGGCTTCCTAACTTCGCATCGCTGCCAGGCTTTGTCTCACCAGAGTCTGACCCTTCAGCGGGCGGGAAAAGGAAAAGGTTTTGACACACTGCCATATAAGCTGTAGTAAGCCAACCAGAATGGGTCTGAAGCCAACATAGTCAAACGATTGAAGCTAGGCAGCCATTGACCACACGCCCATCATTCCATGAAGAGACGAGCGACTGCTAGAACAGGGAGCCAAATAGCACAGGGTCACCGAAAATCACAGTGATTTCAGCTGGGCTTCTCAAGTGATTTCCGCTGCCAGCGGGATATCAAACTTCTTTAATCAGATATTGATCTGAATTGATGAGACAGTTTTCTGATAACTTGTCATTTGTAACTCAGATAAACCAAGCTACAAATGCTACAATCCTGATGCAATTGCATCTCCAACACTTCTCCGTCAACCATCAGGTAATACATAGACCCTGGATGATTGACAAGGGGGCGTAGGTCATAATTTCACTGAAGTATTATAGACATGGTACTCCCATATCAACATGAATCCTGGTTTCATTTCTTGTTGAAACTCATGCCATATTTGTCCAGCTCATTGAGCAGGTAGCTGAATTGAAAAGTCAGAGAGATCAAGCAAGACAAGAGGCATTGAAGGCCCAACGTACGTTGCTTGATGGGTCTGGGGAAAGTTGGATTTTCTTGAGGATATTCTCGCATATGGATGCATATGGTGGTTTCCATAGTCATGGGGGGTACCTCAAAATGGATGGTTTATAATGGAACATCCGATTAGAATGGATGATTTAGGGGTACCCCCATTTCAGGAAACCTCCATATACAAAGCAACAACAAAACATGTGATGCTTGTTGTCATTAGGTTATAGTATGTACCACATTTTTTCGGATCAGTGGGTTTATGTTGGCTTACTGAAAATATTAACTGGGTTATGCTAAAAAAAACAAAGTGGGTTTAATGGTTTGAGAAGTTATTTTTCCCTTTCCCCTAAATGGTGAATTTGCTGGATCGGGGATGGTTTTGCAGGGCGAGCAAGCCATGTGGCTCTGAGAATGGGGCCCTTTCCTCCCATCTTTTCGCCAGATGGGGAAAAGTGATGTTCCGGGGCCAATGACAACTGACGCACCGTCAGTGGTTTTGCCAACAATGATGATGCACCCCCTAAATGTACGGTTGATTAGTTTATATATGTTTATATTATATTATATATATATGTATATATATATATATATCATTATATTATTATATATCATATATATGTATATTATATTATATGTATATTATATTATATGTATATTATATTATATGTATATTATATTATATGTATATTATATTATATGTATATTATATTATATTATATGTATATTATATTATATGTATATTATATTATATTATATTATATTTACATTATATTATATTATATTATATGTATATTATATTATATTATATTTATATTATATTATATTATATTATATTATAATTATATGTATATTATATTAAATGTATATTATATGTATATTATATGTATATGTATATGTATATGTATATGTATATTATATTATATTATATTGTATTATATAACACACATAGTTTAGTCTGGTCTAGTCTAGTTTATTACAATGGTTTTGACAGGTCCAGAAGCTCCAAGTCCCCAACTGACGAGTCAGGTGAAGGAGGATGCCATGAACGACAGGGCCAAACATCTCCAGGTGTTGTTTTGGTGGGGGCAAAACGCTTAGCGTTTTGAACATGACAAGCAAATTAATTCACATGGGACAATTTCCACTATCTATTATAATATGTGAATTATATCTACAACATACATATATACATATATATATATAATTTGAATTATTGAAATATATAATTCTTCCATTCTACATATAACATGGTGTATTTGGGTCATTTCTACGTCTATTCCATGGGTTTATCATCATTTTGTATGTTTTGAAATCCGGCAAAAGGGAATGATTCGAGTTAGTCATCCAAAGTCATGGATCTGAAGCAATGGAACCAATGGAACCTTCAATGAATGCCAGTGACACTGGAGATAACATTCACAAGCTGGAAGATTAAGCTTCCTGGTTTTATCAGCCTTTCTAGGATATGACTGGTTTTACGGCCACCATTTTTTGTGAAGCCATGGGCAAATCCAGTTGCCCTCGCAACCCAGATCTATGTCTTGAAAATCGAGTAATGTGGGTAAAACAATGCCATTTGCACCATCCCCAGTCAATCATCGTTTTTGTAGGTGGCATGTTTACCATTCCCAAATGTGTGGTTCATGACATTGTTTTACCAACAGAAAATTCTGTATTCCATAGTATTCCCCTGGTATTCCCCTGGTATTCCCCTGGTATTCCCCTGGTATTCCCCTGGAGAGAACGATGATTGTCCCCATTAAAAGAAATGGTCTTTCAAAATGGCGAAGAAAAACCATGGTACTGTCCTTCAGCTGTCCTGAAGAGGAACTTCAGCAAGTTCTTGCAGAGCAGTTGCGTCGTGATGAAGAACCTAAGGTGCTTGGCCAAATCTTGGGAGAGTCCCAATGGGAGAATCTATGGAGAATTTTGAGGAATCCAACCTGGGCGAATTTCTAGATTGGAATCCAACAAAAAAACACATCCCCAACTTGGGGGCCTATGAAATGGCTATTAAATGGCTATACCTTTCAGAAACAAGCCACATCGACCTGGGGACCTACGAAATGGATCGAAATGGGCCAGTTGCCAGGTGATTCCAGATGATTCCAGTCTCGCCTGAGTCATTTTGAATTGTCACTCTTCTGTAGGTTTAGGGTCTTGTTATTTTCATGGGATTCACTTCCCAACTGGCCATATCATGTGTGGTTTTTATGTAGTCTGTGTACCATGTGCATGGATGAAATGTATTATCATACATGTAAAATGTATGCAATTGAATGAATGCAATGTATGTCATGTATGCAAAGCGACGTAGCGTGATTTTACGTGATGCAATGTAACTCATAGTCTCTTGGTATGTACGTATACATCCATGTACGTTTGTATGTAGGTAATGTAATGTATAGTGCTATAATAATGTAATGCAATCTTACTGTAATGCCTTCACTATCATGATTCATGTAACGTAATGAAACATATGGTAATTTTTCATATACGTGACTCATGTACTTTATTTTTTTTGGTGATTTCACCAACTGCATCCTCAGTGCTGGTCATCTCGTTAGATGCGTATGGATCCATATGGTCACCAGAGGTTTCAATAAGTCATGGTCTAATGAGTCTAATGACTCCACTGGTAGCCACATGAGTTAGGAAACCGAAAAATATCATTTATGTTCAAGAATGGTTTAGTCGTCGAGATGGCAAAATTGATAGTTTTGAAGGCTCCCTGGAACTTGATACTTCATTTGATGGCGAAAACAGCCCGTCTATCACTATTGTTTGTGGGCGATACACCCGGGACTGTTGCTAGTTTAATCTTCATTTTATTGATCACATCCCCTTGTTGGTTGGTTGGCTGTATTTTTCTTCAGTTTACAGACCTACTACGATTTTCCGATCCTAATGTTTACTGGGCTCAAAATCATCTTTTTGGCTGCTTCTATCTCCAGGTTGGGTTCTCCAGTTTTTCACTAGCCATCATTGTCATCCCCATCGCCTTTTCCTGGGAGGTGGAGGTGCTAAAGGATGCGGAAGAGGCGATGCCCATTGGGATGGAGGGATGGTATTGGGTACCCCAAAATCATCTATGTGAATAGGATTTTCATGGATTTTCCAGTAAAACCCTCCATTTTGTGGTACCTCCATTTTAGAGGAAAGCCCCACATGTCCTTCTAAATTTGACATGCCCATCCAACATGTAATTCGTGGAGGGGGGAAGCACCCCACATGGTGTGAAAAGGCCATCCCCAAAATGGATGAACTGAGTATCTGAAAAGCTGGTTCAATATTAATAATAGCCGATTAATAGTGATTAATCACCACTAATTATTAATCAGTGATTCATATCATTATTAATTCTTGGTGTAGTTTTAGCGAAAGCGAGTTTAGCGAAAGCTGAAGTCCCTCTCGCTTGAGCAAGGATGAGCAAGGTATTGGCGGGGCTGGATTCGCCACCCGAAACTTCAAAGTCAACTGGCCCCCATGGCTGTGTTGGAAGCAGTCTTGCTGGGGCTCAATTCCAACCTTGGGCAGTGTCATTATCATTATCGTTGTCGCTATCACCATTCTCATTCTCATTCTCATTCTCATTCTCATCATCATCATTCTCATCATCATCCTCATCCTCATCCTCCTCCTCCTCATCATCATCATCATCATCATCATCCTCGTCATGATCATCATCATCATCATCCTCGTCATCATCATCATCATCCTCGTCATCATCATCATCATCGTCATCATCATCATCATCATCGTCATCGTCATCATCATCATCATCATCGTCATCGTCATCATCATCATCATCGTCATCGTCATCATCATCATCATCGTCATCATCGTCATCATCATCATCATCATCGTCATCATCATCATGATCATGATCATGATCATTTTCATCATCATCATCATCTTCATCATCATCATCATCATCGTCATCGTCATCATCGTCATCATCGTCATCCTCATCCTCATCATCGTCATCATCATCATCGTCATCGTCATCATCATCATCATCATCATCACCATCACCATCACCATCACCATCATCATCATCATCATCATCGTCATCGTCATCGTTGTCGCCGTCGTCGTCATCATCATCATCATCATCATAGTCATTGTGATTGTCATCGTCATAGTCATACGTAGTCATAGTCACCGCAGCAGCTTCCAGAGTATTTCTTCATTGTTATCATCTTCATGGATGCATTTCTTTGTTGACACAAGCAATCTCATCATCTTCATCCTCCTGCTCCTCCTCTTCCTCCCACCCTAGCTTTCGTTCCTCACCCAGCCTCAAGTTTGCTTTCCTCCATGGTAGGCATACCATTTGTCCCCACTCCACACCTCCGCGCTCCATGGCTCAACATCACCAGCCGCCAATGCAGTGCACCGCCCTTCCAGAGGCCTTTGAGCGTTCCATCATCTCGGACTCCCGCTTCGTGGCGTCGGGAGTCCAGCTGAGTCATCTGTGCCGTGTGCTGATGGGGGTGGGTCACCATAAAAAAACATGTGCTTGTCTGAACATTGTGTACTTCCTAAATCCATCGGTTTCCCATATTCCTCATGGCCACTTTATGGGTGTACCCATTTTCAGACACGTTTCCGTATGAATTTCTTGGGGTCGACCTGAGTTTTTGTTGCCCAGGATCGATGCAGCCTTAACGGCTCTGCTGAGCCCGGCTCCCAAGCAGGGACGATTGCCACCAGCCCTGACGGGAGTAGAAACTTCACTGTTTTTGATGTCGCTGGTCAAAAAATGTCAAAGCAACAATTGGAATATGATATATATATTTTTGTAATTATACAAATAATATGATGTATATGTACTAGATATATGATATATATAATATTTTTTAAATATTTATTTAATATTAAATAGAATATATAATAAATATTATAATATATATTTTAATATATATAATAATAACGTATATATATTATACTATAATATATTCAATATATAAAATATATA